AATGTCCATCAGCATCAGTGGTCCTTAAGTACGAGACAACACCAATCGCTTTGGTAGATGCATCACAGAAGACACACAACTCCAGCTTCTGGGTTTGAGAGAGTGGAAGGATAGTACACATCCTTGGGATCTTAAACTGCTGGAGGTCCCTGAGGGCGTCCTTCCATTTCATCCATTCCCCATACTTCTCTTCGGGGAGAGGCGTGTCCCAGTCATGAGAGTCAAGGTTGAGTTTTCTGAGAATGGAATGGCCCTGGATGCTCACCAGTGCAGCAAATCCAAGGAGGTCGAAGAGGCTGTTGATGGTTGACAACACCCAACGTCTAGTGAAGGGCTTGTCACTGACTGCCACTTGGAATGTGAAAGCATCCGCAGACAAGTCCCACTGGAGGCCTAAGCTTCTCTGCACTGGAGGGGGGCCCTGGTCAAGGTTCTGGAGTTCTTTGGTGAGGTCATCACTGGGCAAGGCTTTCATGACATCTGAACTGTTTGATGCGATTTTGTGGAGACGGAGATTTGAATGGGCTAACATGGTTTGTGTCCTCTTCAGGACTTCAACAGCCTCATCAACACTGGGGAACGATTTCAGTCCATCATCCACATAGAAATGACAATCGAAACACAGTCTTGCATCACTTCCGTACTCATCTCCCTCAGCAGCAGTTCTCTCGAGTCCATAGATTGCTACAGCAGGTGATGGACAGTTGCCAAATACATTGACTCTCTTGCAAAACTCAAGGACTTCTCCATCCAAGTCAAGGTCTTTAAACCAAAGGAGTCATTAGTCACGTAGGGTGTCCTTGACAAGAAAGCTATGGAACATCATCTGAATATCAGCAATGACCACAACTGGTTCAGCGCTGAACCAAATGAGGACACCTAGGAGAGTATTGTTGGGATCTTGAGCAGTACGTCATTTAGGGAAACTTTGTCGTGTTGAGAACTGGAGTCGAACACAATCCTGATTTGCCCTGGCTTTTTTGGATGGTAAATGCCGAAGCTTGGGAGATACTAGCATTCTTGGTCCGGCTGGAGTGGAGGAGCTCATTCAACATGATCATTGCTAAAAATCTTCTTCATGAAATCTATGTAGTGGTCTCTCATCTCAGGTTTCTTGAGCAGTGTACGACGAAGAGACATGAGTCGGTTAAGGCGACTTGTCTGTTGTTTGGAAGACACTGTCGGTGGGGCCGGAATGGAAGTGGGGCTACCCAACTGTTGGCTTCATCCTTGAAAAACGCCTTATTCATGATGGACAGGAAAAGCTCATCTTCAACTGATGCTGCCATTTTATAGTCATCGGGAGATTCTCTGAAGATGTCAAATCTGTGCTAGCCAGCTACCTCTCAGAAACATGCTTCAAGGTCTCAGCAGTCAATGTTTCTCTGACATGAATCTTGTTTCGACATGGTGTCAGGCAGGTAGGGCGGCCATTGTCCAGTATGCTAGTCTTGTAGGCATGGACTTCGGGCTCGTGTGCTCCTCCAAGACACACATCTCCAATTACTACCCAGCCCATGTCTAAGCATTGGGCGAACGGTGCATTCGGTGGTTCATTGCACTGGCTGCGAACCTTGTGTGCTTGAATGACATCTCTGCCTAGCATCAAGAGAATTTCAGCTGAAGGATCTAGAGGCGAGATCTCATGGGCAGGTGAGGGTGATGGCTTGCAGCTTCAGGTGTTGGGAGTTTGTCCCGGTTGTTAGGGATGGCATCACACTCAATGAGCGGTGGCAATGGGATGTTGACTTCACCATGTAGTGACTGTAGGGTTAAGCCACAGGCTCTCCTTCCATAAGTATTTGTTGTCCCAGAGCATGTGCGGAGCAAGTACAGGGATGAGTTCCCATTTATGTCGAACATGTCAAAGAAAGAGGATCTTGCAAGGGAGTGGTTGCTCTGGTCATCAAGCATCACATACACTTTCTTCATTTTGTTAGGCTGCGCCTCTGGATACACACTGGCTAGGCATATCTTAGCACATGATTTCCCTCACACACCTTCCCCACAGACCGCAGTACAACTGGAGGTGGTTAGGGGAGGTTCTGGTTGAGCTTTCTCCCCTCTGTGGTTCTCTGCACTGTGCCCGAGATCCTTTTGTGCCCATGGGGGTGGGCCATCGTGAAGGGCTGACACATAACGGTTGCTGTCACATAACGGTTGCTGTCACACTCTGTGCAATGAACAGCAGCCTTACACTCTTTGGCCTGATGAGCAGTAGACGCACAGCAGCGAAAACAGATGGCATGTTCTTTCAGGTAGGACTTTCTTTCCTCTAGAGGCTTTCCTCTGAACCCACGACACTTTCTGAGTGAGTGAAGTTTCTTGTGGATAGGGCACTGCCTTTCAGGTTCTGTTGAAGAAGGAAAAGGGGGAAGGGAATGCTATGTTGTTCCTTATACAATGAGCCCTTTGTCACCCACTTCTCTTGAAGGAAGTGAAGTTTCTGCACGATCAGATTTGTCCCCCTGCCAGTGTCCAGGAAGCTGAGCCCAGGCAATTTTACCTTCAAGTTTTGCTGCCATGACTTCGGGAAGAAGATCTGCCAGCTCCTGTAGGTTTGTGTACTCTTTGTTTCCTATCTTAGGACAGTTCTCCAAACGTGAGAAGAGAGATGCTTCGATGGCCTCTGGAGACCCGTACTTCTTGTCGAGCTGTTGCCAGACTAAGTTCAAGCCAGCCAATGGGTTGTTAATGCGTACAGCTCTGATCCTAGCGGCATGCCATAGGGACTTCCTGCCAAGCCATCTAGTGAGTAGGTCCAGCTCCTCACTAGGTGTCAGGTTCGAGCCTTGTGTCACATTGTGAAAACTGGCTTTCCATGCCCGGTAATTCTCTTTCCGGTTGTCAAAAACCTTGAATCCAGCTGTGAGCAGATCTAGGCGAGTGAGGTGGGCCGTGAGGTCTGAAATATCTGAACGACTGGGTAGAGGTGCATTAGACTGGCCCCTGTTGTCAGCATGACAATGTTGAACCACATCTGACAGGTAGGAGGCGCGTGGAAAAGTCATTGCAGCAGTTGCTTGAGGGGCTTGGGGGTAGAAGTTCAGAAAATTCTGTGGAGGATGAGGCAGAGGAGCTTGAGGCTCGATGGTATAGTTTTCTGGATGTGACTGTCCAGTTACAACGTGGTGGTTCTTGGAGTTGGGTTGCTCAACAGGGTGTTCTTGATGACGCTCAAAATGTGAATCAGTGTACTCTTCTGTGCGTCGTGCAGGTTCGTCCAAAAGTGCAAGGGAGATGCTGACAACACTTACTCTATCCTTGATGGCTTCAGCCTCAGCAGCTGCCTCTAGCGTCTTAGCAGCAACTAATGCAGACTCCGCTTCACCTTCTTCTTGCAAGGCAGTCAACATGGCGTCCAGACGTGCACGCTCCACTTTCATCGCATTCTGATGTTTGGTGTAGTCAGCTCTCATACGGCCTCTGCTTTAGCACATGCCTCTGCTGCAGCCAAGCTGATGTGAGACCTAGTAGATCGTTGCGAAGATTGGGATGACGCTCCACATTCTGAATGCACCTCCAGGTTCTGCAAGTCCCCGGATCCTTGGGCAGACATGGTTGTTAAGTAAAGCATCAGTCATTGAGTGAAGCTCTTGAAGTGTGGATCCTTTTACTCTTCTGCCCTCACTGTGATGCGCATACACAGATATGCAGAGGTCTAAACATCTTTCCAAATGGGCGCCTTGACTGGAGCCGTTTAATGGAAAACGATGTAAAAAGATTGTGCTCCAACAAGGGCCTGAAAATAAAGGTGGAAAGTTGTAAAATATACAATCAAGGAAACGTGGATGAGATGGAGCAGCAAAGAGAAAACTAATGGTAGAGGGCGCTAGACTAAATTACTGTGGTTGAGCAGCCCGAGAGTGGAGCTGGGGCAGAACACGGTCTTCCTAGGGCAAGGGGCCAGCCAAGGAAGGTCCCGGTGTGGTGGTCTCAGCTGTCTCCTGGTCTCAGCAGTCCCCATTACCAAATACAGTAAAATCAGTCGGCTCCTGTGCACGACTGCACAGCAGGAGGCACATTCCGTTAGGTACCCCCTCACTCACAGCTAAGGCCTATTTCCCCGTCAGAGCCACATATACGGGTGAAGCACCCATGCGGCTAGGCCTTGTCCCCATCCTACCGCTTATCAAGAATCACCCACTCAAGCGGTTAGGCCATAATCCACTACGGCTGCTTAACAAAGGGAACGCCTGCTCAAGTGGGTTACAGGGAAGAACCACTAAAAATTATAATCCGCCCTCTCATGCAGCTAGGATTGTGTGGGCCACTATCAATGTGTGAATGCGTCCACTCAAGCAACCCAGCCTATGGGGAGTGTCGCGTTGACCGTTCCTCCTAACACAGATGGTAAACACCTGCAGAACGCGCACAAAAACAAAAAGAAAGAAAAGGGCACCAAAAAACAGAAAATGACACTCTTGCCAACAAGAATGGAATCACACAAGGTAAAGGTTTATTCAGAAATGATGGATGGATGATTAAAGTCAACACACAACCGTGTAGCAAAAATGGAACTCAAAAAACTCGAAGATGTCTGAAAGACACGTCCGTTGCGATACGGTGCTGAGAAAAGAAGGACAAACACGGCGCGACCGTAGTGCATAGTGGGAGATTATAGGGCATCTTGGATGATAAAGTCTTTTCAGCGAATAGCCATTCGCCCATGGGAAATTTACAAACGTACTGACTGTTTGGATAGGTAGAGCGCCGTAGACTTTAGATTTTAATTGATTACTCATCTGAGTTAAAAGTCTAACAGTTTATTTTCCAATTTCTTCAGCTGACTGAGAGATTTATGCCTTCTTTCTGAACTGTTGTATGCTTACCTCATGGTTCAAGCCAGATGATTTGATGTTGATATGCAATTTTACTGGGGTAGAATTTCCATTTAAAATCTTCTGCAAATGGATTTTAACAATCCATCCAACCTTGGACTACTTTGCATGTGGTTTTTTCCCTTTGTCACCAAGAAATGCCGATTGTGTTTATTGCAGAGACCAGCACAAGTATGACTTGGTAGATTACTGGAACAGCACAGGTGCATCGGGGCTCGAGATCCAGCAGATGTACATGAAAGCCCTTGATGAACAGGTAGCACTGCTGTATACAGATAGTACCAAGGAAACCGGTAACCCACCTGAGCCTTCCCCTGGCAAACAGGTTTGATTTCCATCTGGTTTCAATTTCACAACTGGGTTTTGAAAGGATTTATTTTTACTGAAGTTTTCTGATCCTCCAGCTTTTTTTGTTATCATGTTTGAAAGATGGCATATTTTTATACCATCTGCATGCAGCAGATGAACAAAGGAGGCATTTTTGGAAGGGGGATTTAGAAAAAACCCAATCATTAAAACTTTTGAATTTTTTGTATACTTTTTACTGAAAACCAGATTGAAAGGATGGGAACATATGGGGTCCAGGAGGGACAAAACGTGATTTTGGTGGCTAACATTAGCAATGAATGCACTATTGTGACCAGCAGCTTTCCTTGTTCTTTTGTGACTTGAAGTAGCTGGTCTCTTTGGTGGGCAACATCAGTGATTTCCTGGAGGAGTCAGGGTATCGGACCATCCTAGAGCCACTGCTGCAACGGGCCATTAGGATGCTTGTGAGTTTGAGGGTTCTTTCCAAAATTGATAGTTCACAAATTCTGCAAAATTTGCGTACTGCAGAGTACGCTGGTTAAATTTAAGACCTAGTTACAGGTCAGGATCCAAGCCTAATCTAGATGGCTTAGCAACGCATCTATGTTATGCTTGTTTTGCATACCATCTGTGGAGTTCACAAGATACATAGAGAACGCATTCAAGAACTGTGCATGTGGAAACCTGCTCTTCAGCAGCACTTTTTACTGCTGTTATAAAGCAACCAAAACACTTGCAGATCTCCTCAACGTTATTCTATATATTTCCGTTGGTAAAAGTTCAATTTTTCTGTGAGAATTTGACAACTGTCAACCTGTCAACAGTTGGCGGCAAGTTCCTAATTAATAATTAAAAACTGCAGGCAAGCTTTAATATTTTTTTATTGTTGGAAATTTATCCATGTGATAGTTCTGACCATACAGAACCTTTTTTCCTATTTTATTTTGTATGTGTTTGTTTACTGAACATAATATCTATTGGGATGGAGTTTACCATCATGGAGTACGTTAGCCTGTTAAGCAAATTATTACAGTGTATTTCTTAAAGTTGAAAATGTTACTGAACATACATCTGTATAATTTTTATGTATAATTTGGATGAGGAACTGTTAAGTGTTGTCGGGTTTTTATTCCTTGAGAAGACGTTAAGAATTTAAAAGAAGTGTGTAGAAAATGCAGTGTTGCTGCGAGAGTGACATTTTCAGTATGAACTTCGTACATCAGTTTTGTTCCTGCCATAATTTCAGCCTTTACAAGATGATATACTGAGCGCCAGCCCTGACGATATCTCAAAGTATTTGTTTTGCCATAACCATCTGGCTCGCTTCTACGCTGACGTTGATAGATTTGAGGATGCCCTGGCTATTCATGAAAGACTGCTTGCTCTCAAAGAAAAGTAAGTCAAACAGTTATCAGTTCCATGCAGTAGCAACATTACAGTTGAAACACAAACATAAGAATATCTGTATGGAAAATGATTTCAACCCATGCAGGTATTCGCTAGGCAGCCTGCTAATCACTACATATCACAACTCAGCTGAAAACACAACACAAAAGTTATGCCATGTTCTGGATAAGCACCAACCGGTGACATTATGTGCAGTGACACAGAATACGTAACATTTGTGCTAATTGCCAAATCCAGCTATATGATCCACCCTGAGTTGAAGTGCACCCTCACAAGCGAAGACCATATCACATTTCAACATAAATTGGCTATGTACTCTGCACAGCCCGCACCAAACATACATAAACCTGCGCATAAACACACTTAGTTCCCACCAAAAGACTGTGGTTTCCTTGGAAAAACATGCCCTCTCTTCCCACTCAGAGTAGGGCTTTGCATTTAGCTGCTTTCACCAAACTAAGGAACTAGACTAAAAAAACAAATGGCAGTCAAATTTGCTGAAAGAATTCATTGTGCTGCTTTTGTATCTTATTTTCATTGAAGACCGGAGAGTGGTGTCAGCTCCTCAGAGAAAGCAGTTACTGTAAACAACATGGGCTTTGTACACCTCAAACTTGGTAACAATGACAAAGTAGGTAGACAACTATGAAGGTAAAAGGTTGTAGAGTCTTGAAAGTGAAGGGATTTATGAATTAGGCTGGAAGAAAATCGTCTATCGAAAAGTTTAGACTTGTGGGAAAGACTTGACTTGACAAATCACATGGTGGTGGATCTGTCAGTATGAAGTGTTTGGTATGAGCATAAAGTAGAATCTATCGCTTTTTGTTGTGAACCCCTTAACTCCAAAAAAGGTCACAATGTTTCTAATGGTCTTGAGCACGAAAGGAGTAAGCTATTTGTAACAGTTAAGCAATTAGTTCTTGTCCAAATCACACAACCTTCGAAAGAGAGAGTTTGCCATATACATGTATGTCTCTGCGAAGTCAGCATTGAATGATGTCAAAGTTGTCTCTCCAATGTGTTGCATTGTTATATGTTCGACATCCACCAGGATTAATCAGGATTAGAGGAAGAGCCCAGGAATTTTTACCACACAGGGCTTGAGAACCGTGGTACTCAAGTTAATGCAAAGAAAGTATCATTTAGCATAACATTGGTAGATTTCAGAAGACTCAGGAACATTCCTCTCAAATATGCCTTGAGAGAATTGTTTCATGAACGAAAATGACATGTTGCTGCCAAAGAGGATGTGTGAGATTTTCTTCACATCGCAGTGGTGAGAAAAACTCACTGGAGTTCCCTGATAACGTATTGTGATTCGTTCAGGCATTGGACTTCTTCCAGCAAGCTTTGACCTTGCACAAGGAATGCCTTAATGGTGATGACATTCACGAGGTCATAGCCACTGCTACCAACAACGTTGGCTCTGTTTTAGCAGTAATGGGCCATTATGATGAAGCTGCAGAAGTTCTCCAAAGATCACTTGAAGTAAGTCAAATAAATACCATCGTAATAGTGACAGTGACGTTTAATAGTATCTTGGATTGGCATTGCCAAAATACTGGGGAAAAAAAGCAGTGATGATATTGACTGCAAGCAACAATGACCGGAGGGTCAGTGAAAGCAGGAAAAAAACGAATAGTGAATGACATCTGTGACAGTTACTTCAGACCTCTGATGGTAACAGTGTCAACATTGATGGCATTGCCACAAGCAACGGTGGTGATAACTATTAAGATGTCCTCAAGTAGCAAATGCCATTCCAGACAATACTCATGCGAGATGAAAATGTAATGTCTATCTCAAGTGCACACATCCTTGATGATGACTTTGCCAACCCACGACTCCTTAACCACTAGACTTCAGCACTTAGTGCGGATACTTTAAAGTAATGTCCAGGACGGGCTAAGGGGATAGGTATGTTCCTGTCTCCTACTTTCCGGTTTTATGAAAGCATGCACCATCCACTTCAAACTCTGCACTGGTCCTCATCCTCAGATCTATGAGGAACTCTACTTTGATAGTCTCCCTCCGGATGTCGGTGGAACCCTGCTTAACTTGGCCAAGTGTCACGTCCGAAATCCAAACAAAACACCTGAGGAAGTGCAGGCGACATATCAGAGGTATGTGCAGTTGATCCCTTGACTCATTTGGAGACCATTTTGGGGATAAGAATGTATCTCTGTGTTAGTTTTAGTGACCAAACAGCTTTTAGTGGGAAAAAAGATGTTAAATGTACCTCAACAGACTTTCTAGCCTCATATGGATTTGTCAGCATGACAATTGTTTAGCCTAGGATTTGATGACACTGTGAAGATGGTCCAAAGTACCTTCACAAACTCGGATCTGGGTTTTATGGCCTATAGTCAAAAGATACATCCAGTGGACAAATGCAAACCTCCAGTGAGTAGGATAAAGATATGGACTGGTTTCCTCCGAAATAAGGGACTGTCCAAACTCAGTCCTTACCTTACTATGATCCCACATGCCTAATCTGTTGGATTTGGTTGATCCCATGCTTGAACTAATTAGACTACTTGATACTGACATCTGCTGAATGCAGATAAATGAGGTTGGGTTAAAGTTTATTAAGACCATGATTACTTTAGATATTCTTTGGAATCTTCCAAGCATTTCATTCTAAGTTGGCTATTGGATCGTGTAGGTTCAGTACACTGCATCAGCCGGCTTGAAAGCTCCTTTGTTCTGGTTTCAACTATCCAGAGCCATAGAGATTCGAGCCAATGCCTATGGTCGCAACCATCCGGAGGTAGCTCAGGTGTTGACAACGTACGGCTCATACATGCTGCGTCTTAAGCAGGTCGATGAAGCACTAGATATGTACTTAGAAGCCCTGGACATTTACACAGTAAGAGAATCGATTGTTAACCATAAAATAGTCAAAGAATCTCAAGTTGACTTTACATTGTTGGATGAAGTGCAGTTTAGAATGTACACGTTTTTAGGATGTAAAATTCAGCGTTTGATAAATAAAACAATTTTTTGAAGATATTTCTGCAGTTCTCTATTTTATTGAATTATTTGCATAGCAATATCTAACTGAATCTAGTTTTGTAAATATCTCCTTGCTTTGTAATACATTTAATTAATGGAAAAAATATGTGCTTGGCCAGACTTAAACGTGCGTTTAAGACCGATTCAGGAGAATGGACGCGACTAATGCCCAAGCTGCAGGTGAGGGTATTATCAGTGTCCAGTCTCCTGAGCCAAGCACATATTTATTCCCATTCATGCTTTTTCAGTCAGAGAGTCAAAAGAAGTCAATATATAATAGATTTCCCTACGATTTTGTTCTAGAATTTTACTTTCATTTTCCCAAACACCCTGTCCATTTTATGGAATATTCCTTGTGCAAATTGTCCAATTTGCACGGGCATGGTGAGCCGCGTACACACAGACTCTTGACCAGTCAAAATTGATTAAACTGTCTTGTATTCAGGTGCCAGTATGTGATTTACACGGCAGGCATTATCAGTTCTCAGCAGGCATTATCAAATGTTAATGCACGGTCAAGGTGCACGTTGTTGAATACGGAGGCTGTCTGAGGTATTTATGAATTTGAATTGTAAGTAATGCTGTTGCAGTCAATATACATATTGTTCTCTATTGTTGGGGGACGTTTATCCTCATAGTGTTCTTGGGTGCCACAATGACTTAAATGGCGGATGAACCTTTGGTCAACTGCATCAGGGATGGATGTGAGGCTCCAGCGGCTGTCAGTAGTTTCTGAGGCAGCATTGGCCCAATTAATATTTATATCTGTATGGTCAGAATATGGCCATTGCTCCCCACAGTGTGGCATAGGAGTCGTCTTGTAAAGTACTTTGTGGGCCACTCCACCAGCCTACATCAAACAGAAAGGTGAAGATACAGGCCAAACCGCAAGTAGAAATGATGGCTTTTGCCCGATGTCCTGTAGAGAGGTCTGAGTAAGAGGGGAGGTGAGTGTTTGAGGGTGGCAACATGTAATGTCAGCATGTCAAGGAGGTTTCGGAAGGTGGTGGACACATTGGTGACGAAGAGAGTGTACTTGTACTATGTGCAGGAGTCAAGGTGGAAGGGTGTGACGTACAAGTTCTTCTGAAAGGGCCGCGATAATGAAAGCAGAGGTGTTCGGTTGTTGCTGGCAGAGTGTTGAGCTGACCAGGTGATTGCAGTTCAGCGTGTCCGTGAATGGATCCTTCTGGTGAAGTTACTGATTGGAAGGAGAGTGTTAATGTTATCTGGGCATACGCCCCACAGGTGGGGGGTCTCAGGAAGAGAGGGTTCCTTAGATAGTCAGGGCAGTCTCCAGCAGTCTCCAGGCTGTCTCCAGGCTGCCAAAGAGTGAGGCTGTAATCGTGGGTGGTGATCTCATCGGCCATGTGGGTGCAGTTGCAGATGGCTATGAGGGCATGCGTGGTGGTATGCGCTATGGTGAGAGGAATACTGATCGTGTGCAGATCCTCGAGTTGGGTGACGTAGTTGAGTTAGTGATATGCAACACTTTCTTCAGGAAGGCGGCTAACCAGCTGGTGACATACAGTTCAGGAAGATGCAATAGTGCTATAGACTTACTGATGCTTAGGAAGGGGAAACCGTACATTGGTGAAGAACGTCAAAGTCATAGCTAATTAGTAGTGAAGAGTGTGTTTAAAAACACCGTCTCATCATTGGTGACCTGGCTCTGGTTCTGGTTGGTGCTAGGAAAACGAGAAAAAAGCACATGCCGAGAATGCGGGTGTAGCGGTTAGCCAAGGAAGATGCGAGTGAGAGATTTAGATTGAGGGTGGAGGAGTTGGCAGAGCAGACTGTGATGGAAGAAAGTGTGGATGGCAGGTGGTCTGGGCCAAGGAACATCTGGTTGCGGGCTGCCAAAGAGGTTTGTGGGTGGATGGAGGGCGAGCCTAGGCACAAGGAGGCTTGGTGGTGAACCGGAGAGGTCAGTGCAGTGGATGAGAAGAGGCGCTGCTTTAATGTGTGAAAGTCTTCAAGTGAGAAGTTAGACAGGTTGGCCTACCTTGAGGCAAAGCAGATGTCACGAAGATGATTCACATATGGTTCAATTCCATTCGACGTTCGAAAATTAACGACTTCGACCGTGCACGGCGGTTACTTGACAAGACCCTCATGAACCATATGGAATTGTCCTTAGCAAGTCGGCAATCCTACGTTAAAGCCTTCTCGTTTTGAAGACTCCATTTGCACAAACTTAAGACATGATCACATTGAAACTCTTTGCATGTGTTCTAGAAGTTTTGAACCAAATAAAACACTACAGAATCATGAAAACAAATGCTACATAAATATGAAATTTTGCCTCAAAGTGGTTGCTAAGTAATAAAATATGTCCCTTTTCAATTGATCTCTTGGTCTTTTTCTCCACTAAATTTCTCAATTTTAGAAGTTTTCCCACAACAATGAGACATTGCAGGTGACAGGCCAGAATCTCAACTACATAGTACATTCAGTTTTATCTAGGTAGATTTTTTGTTCGACTTTCATGAGTTATTTTAGACACTTCCGTTCAGTGCGATCTATGTATTTTACATGCACAAAACTGATCCAGCTACATACCGTGCACCGTACACTGCATCGAACGGCCTGTTACACCAGTACCAACGTATGTAAATTATGCGTCAGAGCCAGCGTACTTGTGGTTCATGCATGTATATATGTAAAACTGGGGATATATACCATGAATTTCAACATTTCCGGAAAGGTTATAATGACAGACCTCGGTTTCAATAATGAACATTTATGTTCACTTGCTGTACGTTTGTGTTTGTCTTTCCTTCCCAAGTCACTGAATTCATACGCTTGCAAGGCCATAAGATCATGTGGGTAAATGGAATCGGTGCTGAGTTAGATGGATATGCATCTAACGCGTCTGGTCGGAAAAGAAAACTATCAGCAAATCTAAAACCGTCACACTTTTTCTACCTCTGCCCACTTTTGAAAATTTCAGGAAAACTTGGAATTCTTTGTTTCAAGCTTTCAAAACTGTACCAAATGTAAACAAACCACTGCTTACAAAGACAGCCTTACATAAAAATCTCTAGTTTTAACCACTCTGGTACTATTTCTCAATTCTATTTTCCCAAAAGATGTCAGGAAAAGGCCTTACCTTACCATGAAAATATTTTGGGGCAGGCATTTTTATTTCCAAAAAGAAAAATAAAACATAAATTTTATGAAATGAAGCAGCTGCTTGCTAGGCACGAATTCTCATGGCCCTCATTATGTATGTAAATGGCCCTAAAATGGCACATGTGCAGTTAATAATTTCCCTCTGAAACATACATGGGGTGTAGATGGCACAAAATGCCAAAAGAAGGGAGTTTGCCGCAGAGTTATGGAGTGGCGAGGGTAGGGGGCAATTTCTCAAGGTTGTCAAGAGAGTGTCAGGATGTGACCGGTGTGAGCTGTGTCAAGGATGAAGATGGTAACATCCTGATAGTGAAGGTGCGCAGGAGGTACAGAGGAGATAAATGGAGTTGCTGCTCAATGTGGAGAACGAGTGGGACAGGGAGATGGCGAGTAAAGTGGTGGAAGGCCTGCATGGCCTTATTGAGGAGTGGGAGGTGATTGAGGCACTGAAACACTTAGTCCGGGAAAGCTGCTGGTCCATCTGAAGTAGTTAGGGGGAGTTAGGGGAATAGTGGGATGATAAAGAACTCAGCTGATGTTGGTATCAGTGGAAGACAGCCTTGTGCAATTCCATTCTGGAGCAAGGTTGTATTCCTACAAAGTGGCAGAGCAGCACCTTACTCCCCCGTTCAAGGGCGAGGGTGATCTGTTGCAGTGCAGTTCTTTCAGGGACATCAAGCCCTTGGAGCAGGCAATAAAGGTGTTGGAGAGGATATTTTCAGAATTATATATTTTTTTTTCACCACCTACGTCTGAGAAAAGTAGGTGGCGATTGATGAGATGCAGCTCGGATTTATGCCAGGCAGAGGAACCACCAATGCCATTTTCATTGTTCAACAGGTAGCGGCAGGAAACATTTCAGGCCAAGAAGGAAAAGCTCTAACGTGGGTTTGTGAGCCTTGAGAAGGATTTTGATCAGGTGCCAAGGGAAGTTGTGAGATGGGCCTTGAGGAAGTGGGGTGTTGAGGAATGGCTGGTGAGGGCAGTGATGATGCTGTACACAGGAGCAAGCACGGCAGTGAGGACACTTGCAGGGGATAGTAGGAGTTTTGAGGTGAAGGTTGGTGTACACCAGGGTTCAGTACCGAGTCTTTTGCTGTTTGCAATTGTGATAGATGTGGTGTCGAATGAGATGCGAGGCGGGCTGCCCTGAGAATTGGTGTAAATACTGATGACTTGGTTCTTATAGCAGAGATAAGAGAGCAGTTACAGGTAGTAAAGATGTCCGTGTGGAAAGCGTGTCTGTCTTCCAAACGTCTAAAGGTCAATGCTGGGAAGACCAAGGTGATGGGTAGTGAAGTCAATGGTGAGCAGGAGATGAGCTCTGGTGCATGGCCGTGTGGTGTGTGTGGAAAAGGTGTAGCTGCCAACTCTATCCAGTGTACAGCATGCCACAGGTGGGTTCACAAGCATTGCAGTGGTGTGAAGAGTTGTCTCTGGGCCGCTTGCACCACATTCACTTGTAGGAGATGTCAGGGCGGTGGCCAACAAGTGGAGGGGAGGGAAGCAGGTCTGGTGGTCTGCCGTGACAAGTACAATGTGGTGGAGTCGTTTTGCTACCCAGGTGATATGCTAAATGCAGAAGGGGGTGGAGATGCTGCAGTGGAGTGGATGGAAGTTCGGGGAGCTGACCCTGTTTCTAACATCCAGGGCACTGTCCCTGAAGATGAAGGGTCAGGTATACTCCACCTGTGTCCGGCCCTGTATGCTGCATGGCTGCAAGACTTGGCCTGCAAGGGTGGGGCATGTCCAGCAGCTGGAACGAGCAAAAATGAAAATGATCAGGTGGATGTATGGGGTATCTTTGGCTGACAAGCTGTCAAATGAGGAGTTGTGGAGAGTGGCTGCGGAGGGGATCAGCACTGTGCTGATGAGGAGGGTTAGGCTGAGGCTAGTTTGGTCATATAGAGAGGATGGACCATTCCAACTAGGTCAAGGGGTGTACCAAAGTAGTTGTGGGTGGGACAACACCCGCTGGCCAACCTTGTAAGACGTAGCAGAGCTCCGTATCACATGCAACTTTGTGGTGTCAATGTAAGGGATGCAGTAGACAGTGCCAAGTGGAGGAGAACCATAGCAAGAAAGCAGGCCAACCCAGAACCGACTGGATAACGGCCTTTAAACTAAAGATAATGATAATGATTGTTACTAAGTTTGTTATAACAGCAATTAACACAAGTTTTTTTATGGAGTTTGTAAATTCATGTACATGTACTTCTGAAATTAATTTCTGGCTACAGTGCAGTTACGTACACTGAGCTAAAACATGCCATGAACACTGACGTGTGCTTATACACATACCCCACTGCTAGTAAGACGTGCTGAATTGTAGAGTCCACTGATCGTAAATGATGACACACCTGTAATTTCATTTAATGTACAGGCTGCATATGGGCCAGAGGGATCAGAAACTACCATGGTGCAGGAGAATGTGGCTCTAGCATACATCGTTAAAGATCAGTATGAAAAGGCTATTCCTTACTTCAACGCGGCGGGTAGGATCAAAATGAGTTGTTTCTGTGAGCCCCTTACCCTCCCCCACCTACCAAGAGTGGGATACTCAGGACTTTGCTTCCTTAAACACTAAAAGTGCTCGGAGGGTGGACCATCTTATAGCAGGGAACTCCCCAAAGAACTAGCTGTCCCCTGCCCAATCTTTTTTAAACCAGGCATGCATGTACATGTAAAGACAACCCTGTATAGTTCAATGTGAACTTTCCACTCATCTAACTCTTGGTTTTGTTATTACAGTCATTTGAAGTCTGTTAATAATAAAAAAAAACATGTTTAATTGCCAGGTGAGACACTATACAAACTGGGCCTGATGGATCGTTCCCTGGAATCCCTAAACACATCCATGCTGCAGTACTATGTGAAGCAAGGCCGGTTAGCAGATGCCCATCATGTCCTGGAGCGGGTCATCACGGCCCAGTTTGTCACCGAGGACATGTTCGTCACGCTGGACCAGCTGGACGAACGTCTTCTCGGAGACCAGAGACCAAACAGACCCTTCCAGCACACCCTGGACTACGCTCTTCAAAAGCAAGTGTTACCTTATTTCTTAGAAATGAACAACACAGAAACATTCACCTTATTAACTCCTTACTTAAATTTTGTCTCCCAATAGGAAAGAATCTTGGTTGTGTGGTTAGAATTTTTCCACATACGAAATAGTTCTCAATTCCAACAGCTCTGAAGCCTTTGGTGGCTTGTAGCTTTTCACGTTTAGTTGGGATGTATTTCCTGTTAATAGTACAGCTGCAAGTAAAATATGCAGTGTGAACCACCATCAGCCAGAAGATTGGAAGTGAAGATAGGGGAAACGCTATAGTCCTCTGGGAAGCTGTGACAGGTGTTTTTGAAGTAAACCAGAAAAATGAATCCGTTTTTCAGATGAGTGGATGCAGTCTTGTCACTGATCGAGAACCTTTCTGTTTATCATGTTGCGATCAGATTTCCCAGCAGCATGCGTGTCTTGGGTAGAAAGCTTGTACTCTTGGCAAGAGAGGGTGGGGCAGAGGCCCTGCTGGACATCATCAGGAAGAACCCAGATGGGAAAGATCCGCAGCTGTACATGTACGCCTACAAGACATTCGTGGAGAATGGCCACCGAGACGAAGGTCAGAAGATACTACTGGCTGCTGCTGAGCTGTTCCCCGATGATGTGGTGAGCACAGCTGGCATCATCTAATCCTGCACCTGCATCTTTAACCCTGATCAGATTTTCTCGATTTATCAGTTACTGAGAATACCACTCAAGTCTTAAGAAAATAGTAAAAAGTCTTGTACAGCATTGAGTTTCCTGTTTTTGACCCACTAACATACTTCTATGTTAGGCACCAGGCAGAGAGTAATTGTTTTTAGTATCCTGATTTGACAGATTAGACAAATTCCTGAGTGATGCATTTATCTAGAATAGTATAAGTCTACAATAATGTATGTAAGAATGCTAAAAGGGGACACCGTGCAGTATAATGTATAGTTGGAGCTCCACAACATTGAACAGCAGAAGTTTAGACCTCATAAGCTCATATCAGAGCTCAGCTGGTCTCAGAAACTACATAGGCCTGATATAGGACTGGGTTATAATGAGTGAGTGCTGCTAAGCTGAATATTCAAATATCTATTTAAAAATTCAATATTCAGAGGTGACAGTGAATGAAATGTAAGGGGGAAAATCAGTTATGCGGTTACAGAAATGCATTCTAAAAGCATATTTCCAGGTGTTATGAGTAAACGTGAAGTCAGCCGATGAGCACCAGCTGTGGGGCCAATTTCATAGAGCTGCTTAAGCACAAAATTTGCTTAAGCAGGAAAAAACTTTGCTTAATAAACAAAGGTTACCAGCTTAAACTCTCTCTGATTGTCATGCTAACCAAAAAACAAGCTAAATACAATCTCAAAACAATACACATCACATGGAGTTTGGGCTGGTTACCTGATTTATCGAGTAAGGTTTTTTCGCGCTTAAGGACATTTTGTGCTTAAGCAGCTCTATGAAATTGGCCTCAGCTGCAAGACTGTCTGATTACTTTGATCAACAGATCATACTCGAAAATCTGGCCAAGTGTCATGGGTTTTACAAGCGTTACCCTGAAGCCGTGGCGGTCATGCAGCAGCTTTTAGCTATCCAACCTGGAGACATGGATCTGATGATCCTGGGAGCCAACTTGCTCGCCATGAACAGCCAGCTGCAGGAATCTAGGGAGAAGTTGCTAGCAGCACGACAAGTTGCTGCCGAGAACGAGGACCAAGGAAATGTGGATAGGGTAGGAGTAGAGGTTCTTACTTTTTGACTTTTATGTGAATTGTTTCTTTTTGTTTTAATTGAATATAAATGGGCTGTTTATTCACCCAATTATGTTTTTCATTTCTTTCCCTTAACTTACATTACCTTTTTACACTCAACATATTCTCATTTATTCACTTTTAGTTTTTTTCTATTTTAATCTGAAAATAATATATTTCTATCTCTCCAGGTAACATCCATTTTGAAGAATATTGATGAAATTATTGCTTCGCAATGTAACACATAGTTTCTCTGTTTAGTGCCCCAGTTGTCAAATGCTGAGAAAGGTACGAGTCAGGTGAGTGTAATTAGATACATCAGTCTAGATTTAGAGATGTTGTGCGTTAGAACTTCAGTCAAAACTGTTGATTTTATGGCAGTATTTCAACACTGGAGAAATGAAGAAGTGCACCTTTTTTTAGATGAATTGAGCTTGCAGTAAATTTACATCACAGTGTAAAGTTTATTAGACATGGCTGTGTTGTATTGATTTTGATTAAATATTTTGTAGAAATTACTCAGGTTCTTTTTAATATTTAATTCTCTTGCATCTCAAATTCTGCTGCATTATGTTGATTTGAAATTCCGACAAAATCTGTTGAAAGATACAAATCACATTGCAACATTGATTCAGTTCATTCAATTTGGATTGATAAACATTCCAGTTGTTGCTGGTATTTAGCGTGATACTGACTTGGTTAAAACCAGCCAGTAGCATATTCCGACCAGGTATCAGTGATGAAGAATTTTGCTGCTTCTTGCTTTTCTCAGTATAAATTCTTGTCTTTTTCCCCACATGTGGGTTCAGTTTGAACTCCAGTTACTGTATTGTTAGTATGCAGCATAGAGTGTACATTGCCTTGTCAAGAGAAATTACATGTCAAACACAAATTCAGACATTGTCAAATGTTTGCTGCAGGAGCAAGGGTCAAATTTGCCGTTGAACTGTGAATGCCCAAGCACTGGATCACGTGGGCACACTCTATTTTCAGCATGTTCAAAATAAAATGACAATGAAGAACAAGAAATCCCCAGAGAATGCACAGCTGAATGCAGGATTTTTGCTTTTAGCCAAGCTCCGTTCCTATGGAGTTTTGAGGTTTAACGACCATTTTCTCGAGCCCAACCCTGGCTTTGTTAAAGGCTCTTGCAGCTCAGTGGAGATTATGAGTACACACTGACACAATAACCGAGACCCCTCCAACCATTAATCATTGTCAAATCTCATTTATTAAACGCCGTTCCGTGTGGGTGTTGATTTTACAAAGGGTAATACCCAAGGAAACAAGAACAGCCCTAAAGGGTGACCCAAATTTGCCCCTGTCAGAGCGTTTCAAAGGACCCTTTTTCCCTGGCCTAAATCTCAGCTCAGGCCTGCCACGGTTTTTGATGGAGTGGATGTGCATCACACAATGGAATCGAAAGTGTCTGGCGGGTAGCTTAGCAACCGTGTGTAATGAGAAGTTCACCAGTAATGGTGGTTCGTCGATTGCTATCTGTAATATCAAACATGGCTCTCGCGGTGCAGAAGAGAGGGGCGAGATCTAGTGGTGGGGGACCCAATGTCTTTCTTTATGTGCTTGTGTGTGGCTGGGTAATTACTATGTTTTGGGGACACAGTCGAGTCTTAGTTGTGGGGTAAAAATATTTCCAATAATACTTTTTGTCCTCACAACACCCACATTTAAACATGGGAGTAGTCCCCACAATACAGAACAAGCATGTACAGTATGTGTCTTTAAAGGAACCATGTAATAGGATTTTTAGGACTTTAATACATAAAGAACAACTTTATTTATATTTACTATGACTTTCTACCTCTTTTGTAGCAGTAATGGGGGAAATTTTTAACATTTAGGTTGAGATTTCCATATTCATGAGCCAATGCGTGATGAAGGTAGAACCATGGACAGAAGTGTCTCGCAAGCTTTGTCTAATGATAATGTGAATCACACTTTTCTACATTTTCTTGGAGTAGATTCCACTTCATGCTTGGTTTCATATTAAACAGCGTGTTTGAACAATAGTAGTGTCCACTAATTCTTCAAAGTACTGTTGGTAGGTGATTTTAAAGGATTGTTTTTTGTACTGTTCGTATGGGGTTTTTTTGACAAGGAGTGCTTTGTATGGCAACACCAAAATAGCACCCTCTTAAATAAGTTAACAAGTATTTTCTATGAATTCAAAAACTGCCATCTTCTTTCTCTTCCAATGAAAACGAGTATCTATATCTTGTTTGTATTGTAATACAGAGTAATAAGCATGAAAACAAGTCGAGATGAATATCTACATATTTTTTCTCTTTAAATATATAACTTAAAATAGGCTAACATGGTTTCGTCAACTTGTATTAGGTTATTTTGTATACATTGCATTTGTATCGTTGAGAAACACAAAAAGCAAGAAGAGAAGGCACATGAAATAATTTCATTGGTTCAAGCATGTTTGCTATGTGTAAGCATGTAGATTATGATGTGCAATATGTGTCATATTTCTGAATATTGTTTTGACATATTGTGAATGTCAAGCATCACAGTTTTACCTTTGACTGTATTGTATACATGAATATATTTGACCGTTTCAATTTACCTGTAGGAGTTTGAAAGAAATCGTTTAATACATCTGAAAATGTGTCATCTGAAATGATCAGAAATATCAAGTATTTTGATATGTATTAAGTGCCTATTATAACTTAATACTACTACTGATAATAATTTATTCATTTATAAAGCGCAAATTTCATATAGATATGTTCAAATGCGCAGTACAATGAAGACATTAAGCGTGAAACAATGAATGCATTTAAACATGGTTGAGCCGATGGCATACAAGGGCGCCTCGGGCAGCCGCCAAATGACCCACGTTCACCAACATCAGAAAAGGGGAGGCAGTAAGAGGCAGTTTTACAGTTTTAGAGGTGGGAGGAAAACCCCAGAGGAATAGTCTGGGTAAAACCCACGGAGTCAGGTAGGGATGAAAACCCAATCCACATGTGGACCAGGCCGGGAATCGGAACTTGTCAGTGCCTCAAAGAGTTTAATAGTGAAATCAGTGATAGTTGATCGACTGTACGCATAATAGGACAGTATCCAAAGGGTATCATATTCTTTTTAGGAAACTGATATCGTACTAAATAGGTGAAATTTGTAAACGAACTGATCTGAAATATGATATTCGGTTAATATCTTCGATATTTGTTGAAGTGCCTACCGTGTATTAATTATTTTCAAACACTCTAAAATATTATAACATGTAGAACAAAATGAAAATAAACATCATGTAGCAGACGGCCTGGTATTCATGGTCTATTTTTGCTTGTTTTTATTTTCAATCTGGAGATATTTTTACAATGTTACGCGCATTTCTCATATTTTTTCATTTGCAGGAAATGCTTGATTAAAATTAAAAAGATGAAATTTGCACATTTATTTGACATAATTATAATTATTTGCAGTTCGAGTGAAACTTGTTTCATTGTCTGGAAAGGGTGTTTTAAAAAGACAATTGAAATGATTGAAAAATTTTCGGTATGTTCTGTAAGTTCCCATTTTATGTTAACCTATTTTAACATTCTTCAAGTATTTTAAACAGTGATATAATCGTGTTATTTTTTATCTACACTCCGGAGACACTTTCAGAACTCAAATTTTGATAGTATCTTGTTAATTGTTTCAAATACATTCATTAAAGTACATGCCAAAGGAAAAACCTTCTACATTCTCCCATGTTTTCCAACAGTGATAGCAATACTGTTGGTATTCTTTGCCAGGTTTTTCGTGTGAATTTTGTGTTTAATCCGTAATTTCTATCAACATAAAAGGAAGAGTATAAGTTGAATAAGAGTGAATAGTTGCATCAGCCATTACTGGACAAGTAGGCCTATTGTGCTTTGAAGACGTGGGTGTATAAACCAATATCACACGGCCTTTGCTGGCATCACTTTGGTTTCCTGACTTCAGTTGATCAGGGATTCTTTCTGTTGGTGGTTTTGGAAAGCCTAGTGAGCAGAATAGGTGTACATGTACACCTTTAACGAGATATGGTTATTGAAAGATGTACGTCATTATTGACTGTTGCGGAAAGGGCTCGTATGCTACATTTTTTATTCAGATATCTATCTCATCGTTAGCCTACACTGCAACCATTAGATTCATTTAGTCCATGCTTTCACCAGTTCACCCACCCACTTCCAAGAAGTTCGTCTCTTAAATCGTACGGTAATTTCCTCCCATTGGCATGACGCCATATCAGGTAATCGTAAATCTGCCAGCAGCATGGCTTTAAGCCTTCATGGACGAGCAGCGTTCGTGCTTCATCTCCACTACACAGCCTCCGATGTAAACTCTCGTCGTTTCGCCTGTCGACCAACCAATCAATGTGAGAGGCAAGTGTATGAGAGAGCAAGTGGCACAATCTGGGTCATGGTTGACGCACACCTACATCCGGAATATCTAGTGACGTAAGATGTCACAGCGAGACTGGCCGGTACTGTGAGCGTGATGAGATGGTCCCGTGAGGGGGGCTTGTTCGACTGAGCATGCGTAGCTGTTGTGCGTCTTTCAAACTGAACATCATGCGCATGCGTTGTTGCCTGCTGTCATTCCAATTTGTCGATGGAATAATAACAACGGGTCTTGTAATACCTTTGGCTGGCGAATTCCCGCACACCGACCCTTGTCACCGAGTGAAAACAAAACCTATTGTCGGCCCACAACTCCAATTGTCTCTGATTTCCCATTTTCTATTTAGACCTGAGACGAGATGCCAAGCGGTCGCGCCAGCCAGCCTTCCCCAGACTAGACGGCACGATCTATGCTTGATTGCCCGGCACGCATAGCCCTCCTCTGTCTTTCATGTGCAGTGCAGGGCTATAATTTAGTCATGTATCAGTGATTCATTGTGCGTTGACACAGGTATCAACGCCGTCATGCAAGACTAATAAACATGACTTTCACCGAGCCTATGCCATCCATAATAACGTACGCTACATAGGCGAGAGACGTTCGTTTACCCTTCGACGCCACAGCTTCAACAACGATGTCTGAGAAGTTTGGGGAATTTTGAGAAGAAACACCTGGTCACAGTATTTTGGTATTAAAAAAAAATGATTGTCCTCCTAACGCTGTGCTCGGTGGTCGGTGTGGTCAGTGTGACAGTCGGCACTTCCAACAGAAGCCCGTCGTTACTTTTGTCCAGACCTCTCATTGTTAGCGACAGGACACAGCCGCTACCTTTACCCCGAGAAATCGTGGACGGCATCACTGTCAACCTCCCACGACCCAAGGACCTGAACCCAAACAAACTCCAACGCCGTCTCCAGTCCGAATTTGACCCTCAGTGGATGTCGGTGGACGCCCCTTCTCCGGATGACGGGTCGGAGGTGGAGTTGAACCCGGTGCACTCTGAAACGCCGGCCTGGCTTCTGAACGAGCTCCGCAATCTGAATTTGTCGCACGTGCCCAACAATGTGGCGGGTCTCTCCGCCACAACCATAAGCGCCCTGGAGGTCTGGCTGCTTGAACGGGCCAGCTGCCCCGTGCGCTACGAGTGGGTGGACATAGGCCCACTGTTCTGGCCGCCGTGGGTCAAACACGGCACGTGCGTAGCCCGACAGTGCTCCTGGCCGTCCGGCATGAGCTGCGTCCCCGGTGAAACCAACACCATCACCCTGCTGAGATGGCACTGCAGATCTGCTTCATTGGAGGAAGACGACAGGTCCTCCAAGAAACGAAACAAGTGCCGCTGGCTTAAGGTGCCTTACCCCATCATTTCTGAATGCGTCTGCACGTGCGACCAGGGCACTTAATCGTCTGCATTATACAATTTCATCTTCCCGCCATTGTAGAACTTAAAAGAGAAACAGTATTACCCCTAAAATGCATGACTTGTATTTTTAACCTTCTGTTAGCTTTGTTATGGTTTCTTTGCAAGGAATGACATGTGAATTGATGTCCGTGATACGGAATATGTAAACTGCATTATTTGGCACCGGCACGGTGAAAATAAAATTGCCTTATTAGACTATCTTTACACGAGGCCGCGCTTCGGTCTGCATGCTCTAGTCGGCTCGAAAGTAAACTGAATGTCGTATTTTACCGTAAATATATTTGGTCCTATAATTAATATTTTACGTTTATATGTTTTTTTCCCGAATCTATATAATCGTGTTACATTTTCAATATGTAATTTGCCATCAAAGATGGATATAGTATTAATACCATAGCGGTGTCGAAAGCAATCATCGATTTGTTGATTCGATCAGTTTTGTTTGGGGGGGGCAGCCAGATAAAATAATCAGTAAGTATTTTGAAATTTATTATTTATGTAACTCAGTTAAAAGGGTTTTATGATTATAAACAACACTGCATTGCTTTGTACATAACGCGTATATAAGTTAGGATTTGGGTGCGGGTCGCCTCCATGGGAAATGTTGAAATACACAATGGTTACTGCACCTTAAAATCGTTTTGGAATGGTTTGTGTTTATGAATCGGAAAACTTTTAAGAATCGATTTTGTGTGTTAATAATACTTCGGTTTTTGTTGACCTTTTTAATTTAACTGTTAATTAAGGAACCAGGAAAACGGTCGCAGCTTGACATCACGATATGCTGGAAATGTAAAACATTGCTTAAGATGGATACCACGTGGTATTGATGGACACAGGATGACTCCACGCCACTAGCACTATCGAATGTCCCCAGTGCACCCGCGTCGTTTCTCCCGGGCATGATTTTCATGAGTCGAGGTCGGATTATGATATTTCCGATGTATAAGCAAAGTATTGGAGTAAGACTATGTATACTGCTAATAATGTTAGCCCTTGCAAATTTCAAATGTTTGAATAACAGCTTTCTCTTTAAAAAGATTGAAAGAGTGTCACAGTTGCATTATAGTTTAATTTATAAGCGATAGTGTAAACGGTAAACTGAGCGGCTAATTATACCATGGTCCCACAATGCTGTCAGGAGGCTCCATGTGGAAAAAGGTGAAACAAGAATTAAAAGCGGAAAAAGTTGCAACAATTTACAATCTCTTTGTTTCTTGGGTTACAGAGTTTATTAATAATGGTCGCTTTATTTCTGCTTTCGCTGGTTAAAAGTGTGATCATTTGGACGTAAAGTAATATGCAGTCTACTGATCTCTTCGGTCCATTATCTATTAATTCGAAACTGTGTCCATCGTCTCATTTCCACGAAAGTCTCCGAAATGAAATTCTCTTTTGGTTTAAGTACTTTACATATCGGCGCAAAGTTTAATTGCAAGAAAATATGTGCCACCTTAATTCTACTTCCAGACGAAAATGAAATGTATCTGTGACTTTTCAGTGGTGTGACAACAGTGACATTATTTTGATCGAGGGTGAAAAGTCAAGGCTTATTTTCCTTTCGCACTGGATGCCACACGTTTCGATGAATTCAATTGAGTTTTGTTTAAGCGGATAGCTTTACTACAGCGTTGCGGTGTGTCTGGCGAGAAACACATCTCCAGGATGCCGGGAGAAAATTAATGTTTGAATTGCCCTATCATTGGCCCGCTCACAACAGCTGCAAACCATTGATACAGTTCAGATCGGAAGTGAACTTGTCGTTGGACTTCTCTGTGTATAATGACTCCGTTTAACATGTGTGCATGGGACTCGTGATGCATGATGCAGAGCCCGCGCTCGCATTGCTGAAGGATAGGAGCTAAAGAGGCATGATCTCAGCGGACGGGTCGGCCCCGGGTAAAGGGGCTCCCCACCGCAGAGTGACGGGCCCCGAAACCCGGGAGGGCCAGCCCTCTGTCGACGCGGTCGCAAAGTGCATTGGCATGTTGACACCGAGTGTCATTGCCCCTGGAGCAGGGAGCGCGCGAGGAAGTGGAGCTCCAACTCTGAACTTGGGATGGTTCGACCTTTTAAAAATAAGAGAATTAAAGAACTGTTCTCGTGTGTACAGTGGCGCCTGTTAAAACGGTGCGCAACAAAAGGAGATCGCGAATGTGTTTGCGTACGTGCGTAAATGTAAAAGCACGGTTCCTAAACAGGGAGTGTGTTCACCAGCAATTAGATTATTTTTTTAACAAATCAGCTTTTAGGTGAGCATCGTGCCCGTCTTTAACACAGGTATAGTTGGAAACGTAGCTCATAGCATTTATATTTTGTTTCTCGAATTTAAGGTTCCTTGCATTTAATGTGTTGCTTGCCTTTCATCTCAAAACGGATTTCGTTAAAGTTATCCAGAGCAAGCGCCCTTGAAGCCGACGTCTGTTTTTCACTTTCTAAAAGCCGTGATTTGAGAGAGGGGAAAAACGTGGCAGTCAACCCATCTACAACCCGCTGGCCTGACTGGGACCGCCGGCGTCGAACGCAGCGCCGAGTGGATTCGAGAAGTTTTCCTGGTGAGAGATATCTGGGCCACGCGGTGGTGCACTGAGACGGAGCCCTACCGCGTTGGAAGACTGCAGACTGGCTCGCAAACACTCGTTGACGTTAACTAGCATAACTGTTATAATTAGCCCTGCGGTGTCGAGGCATTGTGTGCCATCAGCACAGAGAGTAGTGACCTACTAATGATGGGGGATACCAGTGTACAGTATATGTTGATGGAAATATTGTTTGCGTCATGTTGAATGTTTCCAGCGATTAAAAGGAAAATGTTCGATCAGAGAAAAACTACTTAAAGCTTGTTTTGCTGAGTTCCTCATCCATGCAGTGTACGTTTTTCTTCATTCTACATGTAATTGCATTTGGTTGTCACAAACGTTGAACAACATGAGCCCAAAGGCAAGAAAATGAAAGCCGTTTCTTTCACAATCACTTTTTCATAGTAAAGGGTAGCAGGGATTTCGGTTGAAAGTTATACGTAACATCGGTGAATCCGAACAAATGTTGCGTCAGCAATAAAGCGTTGTACGCTCCCAAAGGTCAACATAGGATCTCAATAATTGCATTTTGGAAAACATGTTAATGAAACTAGTTATTATCCGTTTCTTTGTTGGCTCTTTTAATAGATATGATATAAAAAATACTCTCATGACGTCACTCTATTCAGTAAATTGTGGATTATTTGTTCCCAATCTTTGCGCATTACCGTAGATTAGCAACGATAGAGCCGACCTATAACTTATCCGATATTGTGAACAACCCCCGTTACGTAAACAAGTGAACGCCTCAGCATGTTGTGTTGAAAGGTGAACGTCCGGTCTTTTTCTTAAACTTTAAGGGTATTTTTGCAAAATAATTGGGCAAGAATTTAACGACTAATATCTGAAGTCGCTGTAAATTAAGGAATCTTACATAGCACGTAAATCGACGGTGTTTATCTTTGCTGGTCAAGAGGAAATCAACGAAAGTTCAAAATGACCAAGGTAATATTTCTGACATCCGCTCCCTGTAAAACTGCTTTTGCGTAGTAATGTAGATCTGTTAAAAGTTCTTGTAAAATGTAGGATTTTTACACTGTACTATGTCAAGGCCGCCTTTCAGGCTTGATGAATTCGTTGTTTCCGAAAATAATTATTATCGTCTCTTTCTTGGCTCTTTTAATAGACGTATGCCGCTTCCATTTTTCTAAGGTTTCGATGACTACTTCAACCTTCATTTAAAGTAAAACGGTATAGAATATTCCGTTTTTATTTTATGAGTGATTCTCTTTGTTTCCTATTCTTGTTATTAGTTTACAATTGTTACTCATATATAATTGTCTTTCATTTTGAAAATTAGCCTTGTAACGATTTCCACTAAATTTCACTTGTTCCGTTTAGAGTTTTTACTTGTTTGATTTTTCTCTCAAACTTCTAAATGTTTATCTCTCATTTAATTACCATTTACTTTAATGTATCACAGATTTCCCTTTTCTTTGATAATGGGCCTGTTCCATGAAATATGTACATGTAAATAAGGCATGCGCATTACCACTACTGGTTGGCAAAGTTGCTTAAACCTACGACTTAAACATACAAATCTCTACATAAGCGCCGTTTCCGTATAGTTTGACATGATGAATTGTTACTTTCCAACCTCAGGACGCTGAAAACTTCACTTAGTTTCGAGAAAAACATACTGAAGTATCGAGAAAGGCTGTAATACTGTTTTGATCGACCTTCAACGCGCCAGGCTATGGTCAGAGCAGCGCATGCACCTGTCTAATTTGCATATTTCATGGCAAAGGTCCATTACAACGATTAGGCCTATCCAATAAAGGGGAGGCAGTACTGTTATTTTATCACAAATGGTGAAACTACACCTTTGTATTTCAAATAATCTATCTGGATTTCAAAGACCTTTTGTTTTTTAATGACATGCAAATTTCGATTTTCATGATCAAACCTGTGAATGCTCTGAACCTCACTGATGCGATGACTTATGCACGAAAAACTCCTGGAATTTTTTAATATTTTGCCGCCGTACATTTTTGCCTCCTTGGTCATTCATTGTTTTGTAAGTATGGTAACAAACTAGCAAGCGACTTTTCTCAGAAATGTTTTGGCAGAGCAAGTTGGAGGTTCAATATGTCCGCCGAGCTCATTAATAAAAGTTATAGACTCAAAATATTCTATATTAGAGGGTCCCAAGAGCCATGGAACTGGGGAATTGAATAAATATGAGACTGAATCTCTGGGCCGGACTCAGGGCTTCCAATTATTTGCAATTTGGATGCAATCGGGTCCGAAAGTGGCACTTTTTGAGCCATTTTGCAGAGGGATGGTTTTTCAAAATGGCTACTTTTCTGGACAGGGACATTTTCTTCATTTAAGTTAGGGGTGGTCTGCTTCTGGTGAAAATTTCTCAAAAATTCATACGTCAACCCCCAGNTGGGGATGTATCACTGCTGTCTATGGGGATTCATTTGTAGTGGTGCACCCTAAATAATCGTAGCAACAGCGCCCTCGCTAGTCTTGTCCGGAAAAGCTTGGACAATTCATTTCATAATAAGGAATACTCCTGTTAATAGCTCCATGCTATGCAGAAGAGTATAAAGATGCGTGAAAGTGAGGTTAAAAAAAGTCAGTGCTGGATCCTTCAGTAACTTTGGAAACTAATCAATAACTGAATTAATCAAATCGAACACAAGAAACTTACCTATTTGTGCTCCTCATGGGGTTGCAGTGCAGTATCCAATATCTTCCAAACGAAATATTGCCGTGTTGTAGGAGAGCAATTCGATGTACATCCAAACAGTAACAATGTCAAGACCAGTGATTCTCATCTGAGCGGTCAGTGAAATGGTTCCAGGTCAAGCTACTCGCTGAACTTCACGTGGTTGGTATCACAGTCGTCCTCAATCCCATACAATTTCATCGATAGCATGAAACATTTGTATCATTAGTCCTGAAGGTTCCGCTATTGGCACTAACATACACGTGCGACTCCGCCAGGATAGTGTGGTTGGAAGAGAGCGTGCGGGTAATCCATTAGTGTTTCCAATGACCTAACTGCGCATGTTGATGAATGGAACAAAGGTAGTGAAGCCTGGCAAAGAAAGCCTACAGCGGTAAGAGCATAGCTATCCAGTACTGGACAACGGCTCAAATTCATCCAATAGTTCAAGGCATTAGACTAAGTACAACCTGTCGCTTTTGTTACGTCATTTTCAGGACAATCGCTGTGAGAGGAGAGTAGTTGAAGTCTGAGAATAGACTTACCTCTCCACGTACATTTGTGCAAAGAATAGACTAGGCGAATTCTCTTTGACAGATCAGAAGGTTGAAGTAAATTCCAGGGTATCTTTCATAGTGTTGTTTTTATCCCTTTAGCGAATATTTGAGAAGGCAAAAGAAAATTTAAAAGTTTTAATTAAAAGAGATTTAAAAGTGCAAATTTCAGTACATTTAAAAAAAAACCTTTTTCCGAAGAAATGTGCAAGCTACGATAGGAGGATTTTCTCCTCAAACCCATTTCATTCATACTTTTGGAGAGCTATACCTCTTCAAAACAAAAACGAAAATCATCCCTTGCTGTATTGGTTAATTTGTGCTTAAACTTAAAGAAATTAATATTGCTATAGTTTGCGATATACGGTATTCTTTCTGTTTTAGGACATAAAGTGACAAATGCAAGGGTATCCCTTGTTGGTTTAAACTTGCTGTTTATATCAGAACTGTGTTTGAAGACGTGTGATTCAGAAACTAAAATTATGGAGAATCACTGCAAAAGTTAAAGCTTAGCAAATATGCGATGATGTTTCTATAACATTTAAGACCCCATATGCCTTTTGGAATACATATTCTGCTCAGGATTCAGTTTCATTTGAAAACTAACATGAAATATAAGAGGAACAATTATAAAAGGAACAAAAACAAATATGTGAAGTTCAGAGTATATGTAAAACATACAAAAAACATTTCCAATGCAAGCACAGACGGCTTTAAAGTTTGGAATATTTTCCTTGCTACATTTAGTTGAACTGTTATTTTAGGGGCACTTTTGTTTCGATCAAAACAAATTGGCATGGGGTACCCTATTTATTTTTGTCACTGTATTTTTTTTCTTCAAAGTAACTCAATTTTAAATATTCATTAAATCTCTGTGACTGGCTCACCACTTGTGGATGTTTGTAGTTATTGGATATTGATCAAATGTGATAGAGAAAGACGTGAAGGTACTCTTCAGAGAGTTGTTACCAAATATGTTCCTCCTGTTTTCAGATTATGTCTGGACGGAAACCATAATACTATGGAAATTTCGAGGGTTTCCATGGCTTAACATTTTGTTGGTTAGTGCTTTCATTCCATTCACAGGATATGCACAAAGGAGGTTCCCCTGTGGAACAAAACCACTGTCCTGCAAGATGGCTTCCACACAAAGCCTCTGCTGTTTGCCGTTACACTTGGCCGTCTATTTGTCTTAAGTACCAAAGCAGACATCCGGAATAATAAGTTTTCTTAATTTATTCAAAATAAAAACAGATTCTGTTCTGCTCACAATTCAGTGCAAGAAACCATGGCAATGCACATGGCCTTCTTGTTTCAAATACATTTTTTTTAATCTCGAAGAGCACAACACATGATCTAGTTATATCAGCTGCCAATACTGAAAACCCTCCATCTCATCAAACAAATCTTAAGAACTGAAATTCTTGAAGCAGTTATTACTTTTAGTCCCTAATGCACTCTGCAAAATCTTCACACCACTAAAAAGTCACTGAATTATCTGTTCAGTAAACTAAGCCCGAAAAAATCTCACGGAATTCTTCAAGAGGAACACAACTCTAAAACTTTCGGTCTTCTGGTCTGTACTCCTTCAGTGAGAAAGCAAACAATTCAGATAATGTGACTTGGGTTATACAATTTCTTCAGCATGGCAGCTTCAATTAAGTACATGAAGTGTCACCATATCCATTTTCTGGTTAGCTGAGATTTAACCAATTGAAGCAGTAAGATGTAGTCACATAATGTACGCTGTACACACAAGCAAAAATTCCTGCAGTTGTGTAACGAATACCAATACACATTTAATATATAAACGTACCGAAATCTGAATATAGAAATCTTCTTTCTTTTCCTTTAGTATTTGCTATCAAAAAGGTAACTTTTGCCTTACATTTGTACTGGAACTTTAGGGCAAAAATGTTAACGAATGTAAATGCCCAAAACCTCAATCACAAACCTGGGACAGATTTGTTTTATCACCGCATGATGATTTTTTCAGTAATCAGTAGAATAGGGCACACAAGATGCGATTCAAAAATAATCTTTGCTATATGAAACAAACACTAATTTCTCAACATTAACTTTTTCAACCCTTGCTTTTTCTTCACACAAAACAGGTGTTCCTTTCTTTCACTGAATACAAAACTCTTCCGTCGCATTAATCAGGTAAGTTGACGTACTGAAAAACAAAAATGCTACTCACTTTATACAAGAACCCGGTGGGTCATACACACAAAAATGTATAGCACTTACATTATGTACAACTCTCTTATATGCAGTCCCAAAGACTCGAGGTGGCCACATTATGTACAAATAAATATACACGATAGATCAAAACCCTTTGAAATCATTTTACACAGAAAATATTCATCTATTTGTACAGATTTTGGTAATTACAAACACTTATAATGTCATTTGGTAATCACAGATTAATATTAATGCTCCATATGTTTATTTCTGCATATGGACCACAGAAAGAGAATACTGATCTCCTCCACCAAATAAACGAGAAAAATCAGTTTTTGGGTTTTGGGGGTTATTCCTTTCATATGCACGATCACAATCTGAGTTTTATTCCTTGAATTATTAAAGCCCCATTTTGCAACACTAAGAAAGACTTCCACTATTAAAAATCTCAGAAAGCCACTTTTCCCTTTTAAATGTGTGCCCTTAAAAAATTAATCAATATTACAAGGCCCAATTTCGTAATAAAGATTGTAACAAGCAAATTTTAAATTGAAATCATTTAACGCTTCCTCTCAGGAAGGCAGATCACGCCATCTCCAAATCATGCTCTTTTCCATTCATCAAAGTGTGACTAAATAATTATAAATGATGATAGGTGTACATTTCAAGTACTTCTCAAAGAAATGTTGTCCAATAAAATGTATTTCTGCAGTTAATCAAGATCTGTTCTTGATAATGACTTTGTCATGGTTTTATACAAGGGTGCTGAAGCACACAAAATTTGGACATTTTCTAAAAACTCATAAATGACTGATTAATGAACACAATTTTGATCACTTTATGCTGTCCTTTGAATTCATTTTGAAGAAAGTCTTCGATAAAAGTTTAATGATAAAAATAGAATACATTGGCTTTACTTTTCTTGCTTTTCGAATAATCGAAAATTAAAATAATGAAACTATGGTTTCTTTTTTCCAAAAAAATTCTACGTGTAAAACAGCCAACAAGTACTTGATACAAAGTAGTTAGCATTTGCTAAAAATCTTCAAATCTTCGAGTTTCAAATCCACGATATAAAAATTTGTCAAAACCAGTTTGAATGATCAAAATTGAAAATTTGTAACAGACACAATTATCCTTTTGGCCATACAAGCTACACGCACATGTAATAATTATTTTTACAAAAATTTAACTTGGGAGCAAAGGATCACCTCACAATTTCTGAATGTTTTCAAAACTAATTAAATGCCATTGAAAACTGTTGTGCTTTATACCTTCACAAAAAAATCTGCTTTTTGGCAGTTGCGTGCCAAACTGTTGGGATAGGCTTTCACATGAGCTGTACAGGCAAGTTTTCATTTACTAGGGCCTCAAAAGAGGCATTTCTTTAAGGACCCTTGTATACTACTCATACTTTTACATGCCAAGAACAAATCTGGGCTTAAACTTTTGAACCCCCTCCCCCAAAAAAGGTTTCCATAACGTAGGCGCTTGCCAGAGTCAGTTACTTGAAAAAGTAACCACTGGTCTTATGGGTTCCATAGCAAGGAAGCAGGTCCTCACTCTTCATGTTACCTGAAACCAGTAACTAAGCTAGCTGGCCGATGCTCCCATCGGTCAGGCTTGGGTCAGTCTAAGGTGGTATATGTCTCCTCTTACGTCCTGTGTAAGGTCACTGGGGTGAGATATGGCCACTGGTTGGACAACAGGTTCCTGCCAGATTTTAATATGCTCATGGTCACATGTGAGCTCCTTGTGCACTGCATGCACCTGTCCCAAGACAAGGCTCATTCAGTAGATCTCTCACAGATGGTACACGTCCTCAGAGTCCATGGGTAAGTCCCTGTTTGACAGCAATGTCCTCCCAGCCCATGGTCACCCCCTTCCATAGCCCATCAAATTCCAAGTCATGGATGTGATATGATCTCTGGTAGAGGTTGCAGGTCTCTGCTTGTGAGGACATGTCCTCACACTCCACGGTTACCTTCCAATGCCTATACCTGTCCTAAGTCACTGATGTGATATGACCACTGGTTGGGTCATAGGTCCCTGCAAGGTAGTACACGTCTTCACTGTCCACTGTATACTTGTGTTTTTTTCCTGATGTGTAGCGCTTGTATTCATCAATAGAGAGTACTTCACATTTGTGGGAAATTGTCTGGACATCATTTTCATCAACATGGAGAGACTGATAAAGTGCCATCTATTGGGGAAAACAAATATTTATGCTCAACTTGTAAAAAAATCAGTGCTTTGTAAAATCACCCTAAATAGATAAAGCACTGTAATACCAACCTTGATGTTAATTTTCTATTTTGTGCAGACCTGGGGAGTTTTTGTAACTGGCATTGAGAAGCCGAAGTATAATTCCACAGGGATTTTGTAAGGTAAGGGATTTAAAAAATAAAATGTGAAACACCCGCCTTTAAAGAAAAAACTTGTACACCTCACCATGTAGTAGAGATATCAAAAATACAAATAGTAATAAATCTGGAAGTTACAAAAATATCAGCCCCATTTGTTTTTTTCTGTTTCCCCAAATTCAATCTCATTCTGTAAGAACTCCTGACAAATGAACAATGGAAAGCATTAAAGTTGCAACGTCAGCCATTAAAGCTAGCGCAAAGACCAGGCAATGAAGAGCCCATGGACATGCTCTCTTTTGATAACCAATCAAAGCTTACTTTGCCATCATGTGACTTCCGTCCCCCTTTGGTCTCTTCTGGGTGATAGAACCACTTGACGCGCACCACCATGTTGCCACCCCAGGACTCCCACATGCTCTCAATGCGACCGATGTATGGCAGGTGAGGGCGTCCTGTGGACAGGAAGACAGCAGCATCTCCTTGCTGTAGGGGCCCAAGACAAAGCAGGTCATTAAAAAAATCTACTCTCTGCCATGAGGGTGAATTAATGATGCACAGCCAAGCGGTACATCGTCACTCAAACACCAATATTAATCAATATCCATGTCACAAGCAAGCCTACACAAGGACAGGGAGACAACCGCGTTTTTGGTTGCTCAATAAAAATGACGTAGCAATGACTGTTCACTGCATTTTGTTGTTTTAAATTGAATTAAATTGGAGGTACAAAAAATGGGAAGGGATCAGCTGGTCTGAGAGGGAGAAATTCAAGCCTGAATAGGAAAGGTTTGATTTGACTACCAGGCCACTTAGCTCCGATTTCAAACTCCAGTTTCTGATTTCTGTTTCCAACCTTGCAAATCCTACCACTACTGTCTATACCTAGGCAATTACTGAAAACTTGGGTTCATCTCCAGCTTTCCCTCCTACCCTGAAACCATTCAATCAGGGTTCGACCTTAATGTTGGTCCGCTAGCCAAATTTGAGTAAAAACTGTGGCAGTCTAGAAAAGGCCCATGTCTGGGTAGTCCGGTGGTCTAGTAAAACAATATTCTGAAATGCATGGCGAAATAGTTGATAGTGATGCATGCCCTCTAGCTGCTGCTGGTTTTTTAATCAAATAAAATAGGACTTTTTGCAACCAAGACTAGTTCGGTCCCCTGGCACCAGCCCAGCAGGAATAATGCTGAAGTCTATGAATGAAGCCACAGTAAATTGTCTGAAAATTCTGTTCCACAAAGCCCATGCGATAGCACTTAACTGTCTGCCATTTACTGACTACCACGTTGGCCCACTCAACGCTAAAGGGCTTGACGTTGGTTGTGTGTACAAGATCTAAATCAGCACATGCTTTCATGCATTGCATTGCAGAGGTACATGCAAGTTCATGAATATGCATCCCACGTGTATGATGTGCCGTGTGTATGTTGTGAATATGCATTACGTATGCTACTGTTTTCTGATTGGTCATTGGTAGTTGTTTTACCAACGATGTCTTGGTTGTGATTTTGTTTGGTTCTCGCGCTACGGGTACTGGACATGGTCGAAAACAAACATGTACAATACACCAGGCGTACATATGTGCATGTACATGCACATGTACGTACTGCAGAGAACGTACGTGTACATGTATATAAGATATGTGCATGTACATATGGATTTTTTTTTCTGTCTCTTGGATTGTGAATAAAACAAACCACTTTCAGTAGGTAACCACTTTGTCTGTGTTTAACTTGCTTGAGTAGAGTTATAATCATGAATATTCTGGAAATTCATTAGTCCTATGGCCATTTATGATAACTTATCAACAATTAAACAATAGTCAGCACTGAGTGCACACTGTTATGCATGATGTTGGAGCAGAAAACCCTACTGCCAAAAAGAATCTTGAAATTTGGGGGAAGACATGGACTAGTGAAAATGCTGAAGAAGTATTTATGTTCCTGCCACAGATACCTGGACCTGTCCCTACCATTCATTTCTGTGGTGAGGGGCACACTTGATGCCGGAAGCCGCAAACAGAGACATAACCATGTTTTGAAAAAATGGTAGTGGTTTTCCACACATCACTTTTCAAGTCTTGCATTTCACTCACAGAAACAAAAGTATGCAAATCAAGAGCCTTCCCTACACCTACCCGTATGATTTCTTTTTCCCTCATGATTGCTCGGTAGAAGACTTTTCGAGCCTTGCCTTTGGCCCCACGGCGCTGGGTGGCTTTGCCAAACCAATTCCACAGCTGGCGAGCAGGCAGAAAGGCTGGGATGGAGATGAACAGAGGAACAAGGAAATTCAATTATGTGCCTTTTCCTGAAACACCTCAAGCCAGGAGCAAACCATTCTCGACCTGTAATTCTCTGAACCTGTTGCCGTTGTGACTTGACTTAAATTTGCCATTGATGTGCATTAAAAAAAGAGAGAGAGAAAAGCCGAGGCAAATCACATAATTGTATGTCTTTCCTGATCTTAATTTTTTTCTTCTTTTTTTTCCTGCTGGCATGATTGAGTCACATGTGTTGAGCGTCTGTGGAAGGCTGATTAAATGATGCTGTTGCCTTGGGATTCCACTTGCATATGCGTCTGCAAGTGTGGGTTTGAAACATGCTATTTTTTTTTCTTTTGACTTCACCAGACTGTTACTACTTTCAGCAATATTTCACTCGTACAAGTGTTAACATGAGGGATGGGCAAAGATTGTTTTGTAGCCCAACATTCCATACAGTTTGACTAAAATTAAATGATAGAAGTATTCCCCCCCCCAAAAAAATGTGGTACTTTTTACATAATGATGGGATGAAAATTAATATGAAGATGTCTGAGATGATTTGACTTTGTAAGCCATGCATACCTACTGCATTACAGGGGCTAGGACTAGGGCTAGGGCTACCTGTCATCTTGCTGGTGGACGGGAGACAGCTGGACCGGCTCTTGTGCCCAGGTGTAAGAGGTGCGTTGTCCTGTATGTTCAACAGAAAATACCCTTTTTATTGCTAACATCAATCAGAGATTCCGTTTAAGAAAAACTGATAATCAGAATTTAGTGGTGGTTTCAAATCTACATGGAATCTGTGGATGAGGTTATGCAAAAATTGGCTGAATTGGTGCCAACTGTTGAGGCTTGTGCGTTGTCATTAACTCAATACAGATAATATTCACAGCTATAGATGGAATGTCCACTTCATAGTGTCTGTATCCTTCAGTAGTATATTTTACAGCAATAAATGCTTCTCTCCTGCCAAAGACGTGAGTTCTGTTGGGGCTAAACTGGTCATTGTTTGAGGATTGTTGTAGCCAGGGGCACTGGAAGACTTGCTCTTGGCTTGGCTAGGTCTGGCTGTAGAGATGATTAAACCCCAGTATATGCTGGGGGAACAGCGTTGCAGCCAAGGTTCTAACTGTACAGGAGGTGGCTGTGTAGCTGCATTTTACAGTGTTGGGGGGGGGCACAAGTTCCAGTATGATAACAATATTTCTTTGTGTTCTACATTTTCAATGCTAGGAGGGCCATGTTGTGTGGGTGGAATGATGTTTTATGGGGCGCATGTTTCCCCCTACCCGGCTACGCCATGGGTGGGGAAGAGAGTTAGATATTTGAATATGTGGGAACTGGAAGTCATGGCATACGTAGGGGAGTGCTTCTGGGGCAGTAGTATGGGAATAATAACACGGGACCTAAGCTCTGGAGGTCTCTCTCTATTTCAACTTCAAGCTTCTACCTATCTCTCTGCCTTCAAACTTATTGCTGATTCATGCCTGTGGTTAGCATACTCCTTGTACGCTTTTTTCCCCTTGCTATTTGCTGACTTGACTCGTTACATTGATCTGCAGTGCCTGTTGTTTGTACCTGTTAGTGTACTGTGATTTGTGTGTTGTAAACCACATGTTCATAATTACAGCATGCTTGTTGAGCCTTACCTTGTGTTATACTGGCAGTCCAGTCAACACGTGTCATTCTTTGCATGCTATTTCCCTGTTTTGGTTTGGTCTCGATGAGCGTGCATGTCATGGGCTTATGCTTGAAACCTTTGCTTCAAAATGGGGTTCTGTGTAGTATACATACCACTGGCTCCACGATCTCTAAGTTGCTATAATATTTTGTAACTATTTAATAAATTACTTTTTGATTGATTTTGATACTGTGGATAAGAACCTTGAACCATTACTGACTCAGACTATTATAAACACTGATATTGCGCCGAATGGGAAAAACTGACACTTGCCTTGCTGCTCAAGCTCTCCGAACTTGTTTCATCGCTGTCACTACTGGAATCCTTGCTACTTTCTGAGGAGCTCCAGTCATCCAAGCTGTGATCCCTGGTATCGCGATGCTTGTTCCAAACTCCCTTCCCACTGTCAAAGGTGGGCGTCTCAGAAGCAGATTCCTCCTCAGTCAAGACTTGGGAACCAGTGATGGGATGCGTGGAGTAGACAGTCTCCGTTTCCACCGTGCAGAAACTGCTGTGCCTGTCGTCACGGTGGGATTTTCTCTTGCTGCTGGATGAGGAGGACGACTTCTTCTTTGAGGATTTGGACTTGGGGGAGGAGTCACTGTTAGAGGAGCTCAGCTTGGAGGAACTCTTCTTCTTGCGGTCTTCCTTCCTCTTTTTCTTCTTGGATTTGCCAGGGCTTCTTGAGGGGCTTCTGGCAGGGCTTCTGCGGGGGCTCTTGCTGGAAGAGCGTTTGGAGCTCTTATGATCGCCAGACTCCTGCCTTCTTTCATCCCTCTTTCTCTTTTTCTTCTTCTTCTTCTCTTTGAGTTTTGAATCCACCTTGCTCGATGACTTTTTGGATTTATCGTGACTTTTGGACTTTTTACTCTTACTCTGAACCTTCTGCGGGTGTGGTAGAAAAACATCGTCCTCACCCGACTCGGGGATTCTGTCCATTTCAGGTTGCTCACTGGCCGACTTGTTATGCTCTGTTACCTTTGGTTTCTTCTTGATTGGGCTGGTCTTGGCTTTGGCGGCATCATAACCTGCAGCATCAGGACCTTCACCATTGTCTGCAGTTTCCTGTTTGCAATTTGACGTAGAGCAGCTGGTATCCGATGTTCGGCGGCGCCTCTTCCGCTGCAGCTCTGCAGGAATGGGTTCAAATTCGACAATTGGGAAGTCATGCGGGAGCATCCGGATGTGATCCACAGGAATCCTACCCGAGTCTCCATCGTCAAACTCCACACAGACAAAATTTGGGTCCTCATTAGGATTGGGCGTTCCCTTCACGACAGTGCCTGGGTACAGGCATCGAAATTGTTGGCTCCAGTAGGCGCACACCCGAGTGCCCTCAGGCACAAAGCGAGTTGAGAGAGGTTTGACATCGACAAATGTCTCTTGCAGCATCTGCTCCTGGGAGAACACATGAGGTCTTTTGCCACGCTCACCATCCAAGATGACACCGTAAACATCTGGAGGCTGGATGGCATTAACATAACCAGCATAAAACAGCCCATCGATGGGAATGAGAACTCTCAAACCATTCTGAAGCTCATCTTTGTTGATGATGCAAGACCTAGGTGGATGAGGGTTTTGCCTTTCCAAAAGATTGCTGAGTGGGAGGTTTTCAGCTTCACTGCAGCTGCTGTCTAGTATGTCATCATTGTGTTTGGACCTGCCAGCATCAGTACCCGAATCTTGTTTACTGCTGGATTTCTTGCCTTGGTCTCGTTTCTTGGTCAATTTCTTCTTTGTCTTCCTCGGTGTATCATCTTTTTCGTCCTCCTGTGCAGACATACTGGCCAGTTTCTTGCGAATCTGTAGGGTGTCCGTCTTCAGTGCATCCAGGACACTCCCGATATTGGCAGTGCTGTTATGGTCATTGTTTGCTCCCTGCTCCACTGCTTTGCTCTCAGACTGTGCCTTTGGCCTGGCAGGTTGGGTGGTTTTCCTGGGGGACTTGGTGAGATCATGACTTTTTGCCAGTGGACTGGCATCGCGGGATGGCCCAGGGCTTATATCACTCAAGAAGATTCTCTCGCTCCTTCTGCGTGTCCAGATTTCCTCGTTGAAGAAAGGCTTAACCTCTGGATCTTTCTTTTCCTGTTTGACGACAGCAGCCTTCGGTGTAGGATCACTGGGGGTTTTTTCCTTCTTCTTGACGGGCTTAGTAGCTTTAGGTGGTTTGCTCGGGGATTCAAAGTCCTTTTCCTTCTTAACAGCAACAGGTGACATCTTCCTGGCCTTCTTTGATGTTTCTGAAAGTTCAATCACACATTATTTGCTGAAAGGTAAGCTGATAATTTGCAACATGTTGAAACGATCTGTGAACAGTCACATTTCTTCACAGATGATGTATGCCCACAGGATGTAATATTTAAAATGCAGAATGTGGAAAGTCTACCAGATATCAGATTATGTCAGTTTCCTGCAACCTGACATTCGGAATAGTGTTGAGGCTTTAAATAATCAGTTCATTTGCAACAACGTTTGACAAATTCTCCTAAGAACTTTAAACTTGGTTCGGTCATTTCAAAATGCAACCTAGAGAAGCCTGAAGAATATAGGAAACGATGACAGCAAGTTTTCTCCAGAGTCAGTATGAGTTACATGGGGGACAAACCTTGTTCTGATGAGGCAGGCGAGATGCTCCTCTTCTTGGCCTTTCCTGATTTCTTTTTAGCAGAGTCAGCATCACTGGTCTTCCCATCACCTGCATCCTTGCCTACGGTGGTCTTGCTCTCCTTGGTGGGTCTGGTACTCTTCATGAGCTCCTGGGAGGAAATGCCTGCCAGGAGGGCCAGCCCTTTCTGCGGTGTGTGGCCGGCAGAGTTTCTCTTCAGTTTGGCATCCAACATGGCTGTCTCCCACGGTGAGTCACTGTCATCCTCTGCTTTAAAAAGAAAAAGTAAGAAGTCTTTAAGAAATTTGAAGATATCTATAGGTTATATTGCGAGCTTTTTTAAGAACCAGAAATCGGTGTCCTGCAGCTGCTGTGTACAAAAAGTACAAAAAATGTGTTGCACGCCAAAATGTTCTTAAGTCTAACTCTATCCTCTCAGATCTTCCAAAATCAGTCAGGTTAGGGTTTTGCAAGATTGAAGGGGCAAAGGGTTAAAGGTAGACAAATGCATATGTTTCCTACCATATAAGTGAAGTGAATGTTCCAATGGCCCACTTCTGATTGGCTCCTTATCATTATTTCCCTGACCATCGCAAGACTTTCGGATGACACTCTCGATTGCCTCCATGGTTGTATCATCTGTTGGGTCACTCGACCCCTGACCCTTGACCCCATCCTTCTTGCTGTCCTTGGCCTTGGCATCCTTGGTCTTTTTCTTAGAGCTTTTGGATTTGGACTTGGCAGTAGGGGTTTTAGACGATGAGGCAGTGGAACTGCTTGGCCATATGATGCTGCCGCTGTCTGTGTCTGGTGGAAAATTATCACCATCATCAATAGAGTACCGTAATGAATACGTCACATGCACAATTAGTGTGTAAAAGGCATGAGTGAGAACCAGTGCATGAACTAATGCGCACATACTCCATTCATTTGCACTGCACTTTGTAGTTCACAGTGACGTTACACTTCGGTACTCTATTATAAAATAATCACTACTAATCAATCAATTACATATACCATCAATTGTTGTTACCAAGTGAACTCTACCAATAACTGTTACCAGCCCTGAAAATGCAAAATACAACTTTACTTCACAGACAACATAGAATCACTTCAATTTTGCACCAGTTTTCAAAGGCATTCATCCATGCAACGGGTGTTGGCTTACATACATACGAAAATCTGTCATGCATCCTCCTCTCACATGCCTGAGCAAGCGTGCAAGTGGGTGATGTGTTCATTCTTTGCTGTCACAAGTTTGCATCAGCATTAAACTTTTCTGCTCAGAGTCCGCAGGTCTGTACCCAACATTCCAGGAGAGGCAACTTGGCAAGAGTGGCATTGTCTGTGTCCTTAAAGTACAGACTAATTTGAGGAAATGCCATCAGTGTAATGGCAACGCAACCACAACTTCTAAAACCTAGGCATGTGTGCATTTTGACAAGCTTCACCACCCTTTTCATCGAAGAGTTATCCATTGCATACATACAATCTACAAGTGCCAAGCCCTACTGCCACCACACTACCACAGAAATGGTTTGTCAATCAGTTTGGCAGTGGTATGCTGCAGTCAGCAGAGAATAGCTCAAGAACAAATAGCCTCTGTATCATATAAGTTTACTTTTTATGAAAAGAAAAGCCAAAAGTTGTGTCATCCTCTGGTTTTCCTACCAAATTCTGTGGAGCTATTCTGACTACGAGGACTCCTGATTAAGCCTGTTGTCTTGGGAGACTTTCCAGATTTAGCCAAGGAGTCACTGCTTGCCGAGTCGGTGAGAGATATCTTTCTAGACTTGGCTGTAGCTGTGAGAAACAAGAGTAAGAACAAAATGAGAGGAATGAGGACTGCTTGTGTCATGTGGAGCCTGGCTGGAATTGGACATTATACCCAAAAATGCTGGAGGGGGGGGGGAGACCCCAGGTGCATGTTTGCAATACCATCACCACAGATTTGTCTTCTTTGTCCAAGCTTTCATGAGTTTTGATGCCATCTTATTAAATTTGGAAGTACCTTGCAAAATATCAATTCGGATATAGGGTGCTAAAAAATCATAACTTTTGGATGACCACATGCAAAAAAAGGAAAAAGGAGGTATAACATATTAATGACTGAAACAATAAAATGCTACAGGTTCTTAAACTGCCAAATTCCTCCATTAAGGCTGTCGACTTAACGAGGATGTTACTGGTAGTAGATAGCTATTGGACCATTCTTAATGAATGATGGCTGATGACTAAGTTTTGAAATCAACCGTGAACTGTGACCGCAATCCTGACGGCAAAGTAGCTTACAGTGAAAGTAAGAAAAAAAAATGCCCTGACTTCAACGGCTCACAGCTCTGTAGAGGAAACTCCCAAAGCACTGTACTTCACTTTATGCAAGCCATGTGCCAAGTCTTGATGATTTAAAAAAAGAGAAAAGTCTCAAAATTTTATTAACTAGCACAACACAGCCTGGCAAAGTATCACATAGACTGAGTACTGCACTTCCTGTCGGGCCCTGTGGGTACTTTCCCTAAGGCAAAGTAAAACTCTGGCTCCATTCCTTTCCTGGATCGGAAAGTACCATAAAAAACCACACTATCCGCCGCTTACTGCCCTGAGGGCTCCTAGGCTTCCCCTTGGATGACACACTTAAAATATGCCAACAGCCCATGGGACAGTTCAAGGCTTTAGATTGGTCCAAGAATGGGGGGGAGCAGCCCTCCATGCTCTTGGGTTATACTTGAAATGAGAGTGTAAGGCCCAAAAAAGTGTTTCGTCTCTGGTCAGCACACACGTCGATGTCAAGCATGCGCATCAATCTTTTTTGTTCTCTGTGAGAGCTGCAACAGCACCCGCTATTGCCACACTGCCTCAACATTTTTGCGCGCAACTCGATCTTTTATTCATGGCGACAGATCCCAATGAGATCCATGTTGAATAATGATAGCAGACCGTGGATACAAGTTGTTTGTTGTCAGCTTATAATCATAATAAAGTTGGACTAGTCCCATGACTCAATAGCGTATGTTTGCAACTGTACAATTCAACCCTGAAGGAAAAAAAAAGAAAAGAAAAGAAAAAGCCATGTTGCCACATCAATTCCAGAACATCAGTCTTACCAGAGACAAACATTTGGGGGGGGGCGGCTAATAATGAAGTACATGCTGGACTGGGCAATCAGTTAAAGGAACCAGGAAATAGAAATATTTTTATAAATTTTATTAAAAACCCTTGAAATTGCATCTTCCGGTTTCAATGAACCTTATTTCAAATTTTTGTTTTGCAATTTCAACCAATATTTTGATGCTTTCTTGGTTTTATGCTAATGCATATTTGCAGTGTGTCAGTATATTTGGCTTGAATGAATAACTCCTGACAAACCTCACCTAGCTGCATATTCTACAAAATGAATTCCAAAACATTGGAAAGTACATGCACTTCCGAAGTTGAACAACTACATAGGGACTGTCTATTCTTGGGGTTGAATAGCAGTAGTTTGTGGGAGTTCCCAAGTAACCCAATCAAAGCAAACACCCCCCATTTCCAATTCAGGGTATTCCCCCCCATCTCTCTGCTTTTGCCAATTTCTTAAACCTACACCAAATGCAGGAATGATGCTGTTAAGTTGCATAGCCAGCTTCAAGATGCACGGCAGGCTTACATTGCTCTCACAAGTGCTGTGTGATACAGTTCTAATTAACCTGTCAAATCTTCCTAATGGCTAAACTCTGCAAAGATGGCTGATCAACAGAATTTCCCTGATATTTACATATCTGTGTGATTATTTAAAAACCCTAAACCTGTTCTAAAGTAGAGTACATAGGTTACATCTTCACTGAAACCAATATGCACATTTTTTAGTTGTTTGTAATCAGTACGAGTTCAGTTTTTGAGACAAATCACTCTGGTTTTATAACCTGCAGATTAATAATTGACACATTTGAAGTGTTTCAAGTTATGAGACAAATCTCTAATCATCAGCAAACACAACCAGAGTAATGGCAAATTTCCTTCTGCCTTACACAATGCCTTTCGTTCTCCCACACCAAAGAATTTTAATTACACTCGGTAGCAATTTACACAAACAGTTGAGTAAATGACAACTGCATCAGAAACTAGCACATGCTTCAGTAACAAGACAGAAGGGGCCATGGACCCTTCTTTTACACTGGCCAGATAATTCAGCAATGTAACAATGCAGGCTAAGGCAACCAGGTTTCCTGACATGACAAGATAGTGGGGGGGGGTAGGGTGGTTGACGGCACCTGCAGCTGAAAGTGCAGGTGTTGCACAAAGGATACCAACAATCAACTATCTGCACTGAGGCGTTGAGTGACAACCAGGTGCACTGCATTGTGCAGAAGCCAGGTGAATGCACCAGGGGAGAGCAAAACTGTCGAAGGGAAACCCGTCTAGGGCAACACCTCCAGGCACGAGGCATACTGAGGTTAAATTAGGTACTGCACAGCTCAAAGAGGGGTACGGGGCCTGACATTCGTGGGTGAGTGTTTGCACTTGAAATTCTATCAAAAGTTCCTAAGCCTGGTTTCCATGCGGCCGGCTAATGGCATGATGATTAATGCTAACATTAATGACTTGTTACTTGTGAGGTGTGAAAAACCTAATGACTGCATATCGTCCAGGTTATTCTCGAGAACACCCTTTTACCTCACAAAAACTACCTAAAAGGCATAAGATTGTGTGAGGAACAAGGCTTGATCGTAAATTTGTGTCTGAATCGCAAAGTTGTGTCTGAACACAACACAACGCACAAACTCAAGGATTTTGACAAGTGAGTGGGTAAAGCTGGATGAACAAGAATTTTAAGATTCGACACTGTCAATCAGTTTTACTAATTTATTAGACTCTGTTTGCATTAGGGCACAATTTTATTTTATGGCACTGCTTAACAGCAGAAACATTGTGCTTACTATAACATAAAGTTGTGGTAACCATAAGCACTGTTTCATCACTGTGCTTGGCCTGGTTGTGCCTACAGTTGTGGGCGCATAGATTTCTATTGTTTTGTTACTACATTAAGCAAATTTTTCCGCCAAGGTAAGCATGCCTTTTGCTGTGCTTACTGTTTACGGTCTCATATGCTTAGCAGTGCACAGGAATTGGGCCTTGGTCTTGTTGGGGTGTGGGAATAATACGATACACTGTATTGCTACTGGAATATAGTGAGGCAAACAAGCTTCTTGATTGGTGTTTGTTCATGTAAAACATACTGTGCATTTTTATTAAAAAGGAGATAACAACCTCAAGTATGATTTCACATTCTTCAAATGTGCCTAAAACTAAGAATCGAAACCTTAAGAGGTCAGTGTGAAAAATCTATACACTTGGTAACTGGATACAGTGTATCAACTACATCAACCACAACAATCAAAGGCCTTCTGATCACAGAGATTTTGAGGGATTTTGGAGAGTAGAACTCACATATTGTTACCATTAAGGCCACCTACTCCACCTAGGGGTGAGTGGGCTTGTTGCATGTTCGAAGTTCGAGAACAAGTAATGTACCATTGTGTTGGTGCACAGGAGAGGCTTTGAGAGTTCAAAAAGGTCTCAAAATATCTCAGGAGTTATTACAGGTTATGATTAAGGGAATAAATATGTGCTTGGCCAGTTTTAAACATGCGTTTAAGACAGGCTCAGGAGAATGGATGCAACTAATGCTTGAGCCACGGGCGAGGGCATTATCAGCATTCATTCTCCTAATGTTTAAGACAGGCCAAGCAAATACTTCTTCCCATTTATAAACACCTTTTTTTTAGTCTGAGAGTCAAAAGAAGTAAGTATATGATAGATTTCCAATGTAATGTTCTAGAATTTTACTTTGATTTTCCCCCAAACCCCGTCCATTTTGTGGTATATTCCTTGTGCAAATTGTCCAGAAGAATCTCTACATATGGATTTGTCATACACGAGCCACGTTGCAAACAGTCTCTTGATTAAACTGTCTCGTCTTCAGGTGCCAGTGCGTTTTGTATGCAGCGTTATTGAACAGGGAGACTGTCTGAGGTATAATTTATGACTGATCTATTAGTTCTTTCTTCTTGACTGTAGGGTCAAAATGTTGCTGTGGGGAAAGCACCTAAAAAATTTAGGCCCAAGTCTCTTCCTTTCAAATTTGAGGGGGTACTTACATTTCTGCTTGCTGTCTTTAGCAGAAGGAGACAGACTGGGAGAGGACTTGGACTTGGATTTTGACTTGGACTTAGCCTTGCCTCCAGACGGTGACGATAAGTCTTCTGATGCTGGAGAGGAGGCTTGTGCATCATCCTTAAGCTTGTGCTTCCTCTTCTTGGATTTAGATGTCTGACGGACAGGAAGATTAATGAGATTGGTGTGACCAGACTACTTCAACTGAAATGTCAATGGGCTTATGACTGAAGGTAAGCGTTCATTTTTGCATCTGTGATTTGCTGAGACAAATAGTAACTACAGATAAGTCTGCAGTCGCACCAGGAACTGACCCATGTTGTGCACAAAGTCTATGCATGATATGCTACATCATGGTGTGACTGACCAATTGTACAAACTACCTTTTTCTGAGTGGGAATCTTCAGCGTAGAAAATAATGCCAAAAAATGGCATCAAAGAGCTTCATGGTGCGCTACACAGGAAACAGAGCATCTCACAAGGAAAAAAATATCCATGTAAAGTACAAGTAACTAATATGACCCACCATAAAACTAAGATGAAGAAATATGCTGTTATCTGAACACTGCTACCAATATGCACAAAGGAATTTCCACAAGTTTCTTGCCTATAACCAACAAGGGCTTCTACTGACAAACTTGTTTACCTCTGATCACTTTCAAGTTTGAAAATGACCAGTGAGGAAGGGGAAAAATCACAATTACCTACTTTGGCGTACTGGGTCACATATGACACAAAAAACCACTTATAAATGATCTGGAGATACTGAAGTTGACATGGCCAGTTTCCAGTGACATAAATTGGGGTGCATTTTCCTGGGGGGCACTTGGTGGGGACCTCATTTTCTGGAGAGAGATGACGTTAGGATCTGAATCACGGAGTGAAAGGTAAAACACTGACTAGGTGGACTATCAACAGATTTTTTTCTTCTCTAATTTTTCAGAAGGGATGGGGGGAGGCAAAGGCCTTGAGCTGAGGGGAGAGCCCATGCCCCCTTCCTTATTTATACCATTGCTAGTCTCAGATGGCTACCTACCTCGCAGTGGCTGGCCTTGGCTTCCTTGTCTTTCTTGCTGCTCTTCTTCTTCTCCTCTGTCCTCCCTTTCTCCTTGTCCTCTCGGTCCTTTTTCTTTTTCTTCTTGGGCACCAGGAACGGGGAATTCTCCTCCAGGGATGCAGCTGCCTCCAGGAGTACAGCCGTCGATGACTTGATGATGGGGCTAAAGGGGGTTGGGAAGGAACAAGTACGTGAGGTCAAGTACTGTGATTTGTTTGCACAAAATGTTCAAGCAGAAATGTCCTGAACTATCCAAATATGATACAATGTCAGTCCTTTTGCTGTAATGGAGCTCAAGACCAGCTTAGAATCACACAAAAAAGTATGGTCACATACAAAATACTTCAAGAGTTCAAGATTTTCTTTTTATAAATACAAACTGACTTTTTTTTCATTTATCAGATGTCACAATACTACTTCTGCTGTACCAAAGTCCACACTGGAGGACTGATAGGACTATTAGGTCACTTGGAAAAAATTCAAGCTAAACAGGTTATCATCATGTAAGCTTCATATAAAAGCGGGTTTTTTGGCCTGAAGTTTAAAGTGGACTGACAGTATATGACAATTGGAGTGGACTGACAGTATATGACATTTGGATTGGATTGAACACATTGACAACATTTACGAGACTGCAGTGGACTGGACTTGACCACATACACATGCAGACGACGAGGCAAAAAATTACCATGGACCGCTCTCTTGTTGGTGGGGCTCTTTACTGATTTTTCGTTTTCTTGGTCTGCCCGGGCCACGTCGCCTGTCTTGTTCCAGGCATCTTGAGCCCTTGTCCCTTCAAAGAGAGCGGAGTGACTTCCAATTACTTCAGACAAAAACCGGGCCCTTAAATGACTGGTACTCTCTTTTTCGGACTCAGAGGTAGATCCAAAACAAGACAATTATTGTCCTCAAACAAGTTCAACCCTACCTGATAACTCTGAGTCTTTAAAAAACATTTAAAAATTTTAGTCGCTAACACTGTTTACAAACTGTGCATTCAAGATGGAGCTCATTGTTGATTTCTATTGTGTCCTAAATTCATCCCTTCTCCTCACGCCTTTCATTTTGTCAGGATCAGGTCTCATAACAAATGGCACAGTCACCCATTTTGTTTGTTGTCTAGGGATTAGCTCTAAGAGCTGCACTTTCGAACCGGATCCCAAAGTTGAAACCACATTTCCAGGGCTATCATGTTAGGCATTTCCAACAGCACTGATGAATAAAGATCCTCTATTTCCAATCACCTCCGTGATTGGACATGACACCATTATAATTGGTACAGTCACTCAAAGCCCTGTCCAAACATGAGTCTTGTTTTCCCAAAGTTCAGTCAGTCGACCTTGGCAGACACGGCGTAATGCACAGCAAATGCTGCACAAAGCATCATGTTGTCTCGACAATTAGTCTCAAAAAAAAAAAGCTTGTTCAACTTTGCTTGTAATCACACAGTGGTGTCTAGTCTCGCGCCATCATAATTTTCCAGAAATTTCAACATCCTGGATGTGATGTTGATTAGCCTGGTCCCATCCAAGGAGTTTGCAGCTCAGCTTGCCAGGCCAAGTCAGCAGATAGCACAACTGACTATTGTCAACTAGAGTCACTCTGTCACATCATTCCAACCTCATGTTTGCCACTATTTTTCTCATTTCCTGTGATTGACCTTGGCATCCTGTGAGCCATGTGTTTTGAGAGGCGAGCCAAACAAACTGCCACTGCTGATAAGACAGATTAATTGGTGCAGATCGCCAGGGGCAGGGCTAGTGTTAGATCCTGGATTTATCGCTGGATTCCAAAGAGGTGACTCCTGGCTCTTCTTATCAAGCACCCAATAACAATTACCTGACAATACTGTGTGTAAATTAATGCAAAGTTTTACTTCTGCATTTAATAGCTTCTCAGTTCAAACCGATTGATACATGAACACAGACTCCTCAACAGACCAACAGACAAAAGAGGACAGTAAACCAACAGACTAGCCCAATTAAAAAAGGATTCGTTTCTGACAGTCACAACCGATTTCAGTGACACAACTTGGCCAGTCCACCCAGATAAAGAGGTTGGAAAAAGCGTAGCAACAATTTGAACTGACAACTGCTTTGCCATTTTTAGCTCCAAAATCACCGCGGGGCAAATGTCAATAAATTTTGCACGGTATCATGAACCGACAACCCCTTTTTACACATCTTTCAGAAAATAAGACAAGGCCCCTGCATGCCAGTGCATGATACTAAGCAAGCTCTATTCGCTGGACAAGGGAATTACAGTCCATAATTAAGATGGGAAATCTCATTAGTCAAAAGCACAAACAAACCTACAGAAGCCTGGCTCCCATTTCTTATGTCAACCTCCAGTCATTCGACATAGTTTCTGCGGTTAGAGTTATCGTAAGTGCACATTAGAAATCTGTTTGCTGCCAGCCAAGTATGGGCCTACGTACTTCTTATCTTTCTTGCGCTGCAGCTTGTCTAGCTCTCGCTTCTTCTCCTGGTACTTCCTATGGAGTTCGGCCAGTCTCTGTGTCATCTCCACCTCATTGGGGTTCAGAATGTCCCCGGCAGTGGCAAAGCTGTCCACTCCATCACCAGAGGCACTCCCTAAAATGGGTATAATTGTGCGATTAATTTATTTAAAAGATAGGTTTTTAGGTCCCAGACGGGACATCCAGAACTTTGTGGTTTCTTTTCGTCTGCATAACGATATCACAACCATGTCTTGCAAATGTCAAACACTCACAGAGTCACGGACCAAGGAAAATTCAAAGATGCATCAAACAGAATGCTTTTATTTTCCAACCAAATACAACAGTGGTCAAATTCAGAAAGTTTGTTAAAAAAAATGTGTATCAACAGAGGTACACATGTCTACTCACAAAATTTCAGCAAAGGCCTAAAGCTGAAGAATACCAGTCAGTACTGAGTGACTGACACTGCATCTTCTTGCCATTTTCAGGATTTATGTAGGTACCGGTAGACAAGCAGAGAAGCAATTAATTCCTACTTACGTCCTCACAGGTCAATCACACATCCTCACAAGTCAACCACTGGATATCCAGTATCAAGTCAAGACACAAGTTATTCCAATGAACAGTGCCAGCAGCATTCGTTTGCTATTTTTCATCCCTTAGTTTTGCATGGCTTTGTGATGAGCTTGGCTATAAGTGTTATGGGCAGGTTTCAGTAAAGTGTAATGAGCATTGAGTGACGGAGACGCATCAAAGTTTTTGTGTGAAAAAATGACACAGGCAGCAAAACAGGCCAGTGATTGAGGTTTCTCTATCATGTACGCACAAGAGGGGGTGTCTAATACTATTCCAGACACCAAATACTTTAACTTGGAAAGCTTGTGTTAAAACTAAGTTTTTCCACAAATAACTTGCACCCCAATTTTTTGAAAATTGCCAAAAAACTCAATTGTGTGTTGGATTTAACTTATGAAAGGAATTTTTATGCCATTCATAATCAGTGGTGGGGGTGAATAGATGAAACAATTTCATTGGCTGACAAAATGGATACAGAAGATTTTTAGTGACTGAGAACATTCTCAGGGTACTCAAAATGCACCTCTCTTAATTAGAGACTCATCTAGAATTGCCCAGCTAATCCCAGTAAAGGTTAACGACTGTGTGCCCACCCCAGCAAAATATTTTGAAACTGAGACCCTTGGTACTATCTGAAACCATGTTTCCACTCTGCCCAGTGTTTTGGAAGGAAGATTTTATATGTACCAGTGTTAAAGATTTACGTTATGTATGGGGGTTTGTCCATGTTTTTTGAAGCAAAAACTGCCCTTTAAAAAATCCAACCAGTCTTCGGAACAAGCAATATATTAAAACTTACTTTTGAAAATAAAATCAGTGGGTGATGTTGGGCATGACTGCGTGATCAGCTGCAGTGTACCGCCACTGGCCGCAGTTAACGCGCTCGCTGTGTTGCCCTGTAGAGGGGTGCCGTTGTCCTGGTGACGAGAGTCCAGCAGATACGAATCGTCCCTGGTTTGGCAACTCGGCACTGCATTAGTCTTGTCATTGTCTGCTGGGCGGAAGTGATTCACAGATCTCTTAATACCAAACCTAAAGATTACGTGATAGAGAGGTTAATAATTGCATCATCCCTGCTGATAAAATCTTGTAAACAGTGTACTTCAACAGTACAGTAGTGCATAGTGTACATTTTATCACATTTCATTTTTCGATCAATAATTATAAATTACTGATGAACTGACCGAGTAACAATTTTGAATGACTGTACGGACGTATCACCAGTTAAGTTGGGTCTGCTTTTATGCCACAGAGTTTTGTAGCTGCTCACAAATTATGCATGAACCTCAAACTGATGCATTGAAACAAACTAGGGAAGTACAAGCTATTTTCTGTCTTCTTTTTGTTTCCAGAAATTTTAACTGTTTTCATGTGTCAAATGTCAAACAGTGCCACTGACATCAGATATACACTCCACCCTGAATGTGTTGTCACGAACTCAGCCAATGCTATCCTTTGCCATCCATAATCGAATGATGTCATTGAGTAGAGACGGTCTACAGTTAAGCACCCTGTCTGGGAGCCAGCACTTGCTTGTGACTATGAAAAACATTCAGGCAAATACTGGTCGTCTTTTTTACACACAGTGCAATGCAAGACAAACTCGGACTGTTTGCTTCGATATTCTGGATCAAGGCTCGCGTAATGTGCATGTATCTCCTGCCTTTCAGTTTGCAAAGCTTGAGCAAACCAATTTTCCATGATCAAGATGTTCCAGTGCACACTGTGTACCTGCACTATTTGTCTATGGCATGTACATGTACATGTACTTCAGTGCTGCGATAGGCACTCCTTCGGAACCCCCTTCCAGCAGCTTTGCAGGCCGGAGCAGGAAGTCAGGGAGCCAGGTTGAACCTGAGATTTATCACACAGCACCAGCCATTCAAAGACCAGTGCTACACCAGTATCACTCCATCGTCACAAATGCTAAATGTCACTGATGCACAGCTGGGGGAACCAGCTCAGGGGGGAACCGAACCGACCAACAACGGTGGAAGTTCTTTTTATTTGACACTACCGCTGCCCCTTGTTGTAATTGGCAAGTACCTGTGACATTTCTACAAATTCTTGATAAGGGTTTTTTCTCCTCCCGCTTATGGCAATGGTCCAAAGTATGCATGCATTTACTCTTTGTTGTAAAAACATCAAAGCTTTTCAGTGCTAGCAGACACCTGGTGTTTGTGAGTGGTAGTCGCACCATATCCTAATGTGCAGGTTTAGAAAGAACATTTATTCAAGGGAGCCTAATTCGGCCTGACTCTTGGGGCTACTTCCTGCCGAAAAGTCTACTTCCTCCAGATGTGCAGCTGTTTAAAGTGAAAGCAATATTCCAAAAATGTAATAATTCTAAGAGTAACGACTCTAAGAGCCTGAAGTTGGGGCATTCCGAAAACTTGTCTACTATGGAGCCTAACGGCATGGCTTTCTTCCTGCTGCAACTTTGGAGGGGCATCCATCACCACGAATGGTAAAAGAAGCCAGGCTCTACCTTCCTCAATCATGCCAACCCTCCCAAACTTCCTGATGCATTTTGAAGGATACAAGCAGAAAATAATTGCACCTGTGTAAAGGTTGTTATCCACAAAACCTGAGGAAACCAATGCTGACCCTAGTTTCTCAAAATCAGTCTGATCTGCTGCAATTTCCTGACAGTAACGTCCTTTTCCATTGCACACAATGAACTTTCACTGAGGTGAGCAAAACTGAAAGTGAACATGAAACTCTGACTAATTGGAAAAGGGAAGTCTGGTTAATTTTGATGATAAGAAAGTCGACCGGATCTGATATTCCTAGATCTAGTTCTTGTCTCCAGATGACGCATTTTGTTCAAACAATAGATCTAATTGCTGATGAGTCAGGGAAGAAAAGATTCTCCAATATGAAGAAGGAAATACGCAACCTACAACTTTTTTAAATTTCTAAATATTTCGGAATGCCAAAAGTATCTTTCCACAAAGTTATTGCAAACTTTACACAACTTTTCCTAATTCAACAGTCTGACTTAAAAATCACTGGTGTGTATTTAAATGAAAATGAATTAAACACATACAAGAGTGTGACATTCTGGACCAATCCAAACCTTCCTTTAACAAAAATATAATACAAGAGCAGTGCGTAAGTGTCTTGGCAGGCACTTTTCTATCCAAAATGATGAAGGCCTTTTATTAAAGCATTTTACTGGTCGTGGATAAATGAGCAACTGCGAACAGCATCAAACTAAATGAATGGATGCCCATTATTTGGCCCTCCTTGGAAACAAGTGATTGCAGCAAAATGCCTTGTGTTACAGGGACACAAATGTCTCATTTTAAGGCTAAGGGTTGCAGCTGCAATGAGCCAATGTTGCACTTCACAACAGTCAGGTGCAATAATAATCAGATCTCTCCACACCCCTTTTATTTGGTAAACTCACAAGCAAACTTACCATTACAGATAGAGAAGACTTTCTGGTCTGCAACCTCGCTCAACAAGGCAATGCCCTCAATGGCAGCCAGCTGGTCCTGATCTAACGCCTCCATCCGCGATGCAAAGCTCTGCGTAGTCGTCAAGACATTTGAAATGAGAGACTCCTTGCCTGCTTCCTCTTGCATAGGGGCTGGTCCTTCTTGAGAGGGCAACTCAGTGTCTAAAGGAGGTGTGGCCAATGGAGCAATAGGCAGCACCGTCTCAGTGATCATCTTCTGTGTCATAGTGGGGTCCAAATTAACATCACAGGGGATTTCAGCTGGTGTTTGAAGAACTGAACTGGGCCTGCTAGTCCTTAAATCCTCAACTGGTTTGGTGTCAAACACAGCAGGTTCCGTTTCGGAGTTTGTGTGAATTGAATTCTTGTTCTCCTCAGTGGGCTTCTCACCCTCAATCATGGGATTGTCGCTGGCATCATCGTTGACAACGTCAACGATGATCAACTCCTGATCTTCACTCTCTTCTGTCCTCAAATGGGATTCCTTGTCATCCTTGTCTTCAGTCTCTTCTGACACAGGGTGCTTCGTCTCGCTGGAGCTGTCCATACTGGCTGGGGTCTCAGAAGGCGAGGTCTGCACACTGATGCTCTTCAGAGCAGTCTTCAGACTGATATCATGTTTGGCATTTTTGCTTCCGTCCGCGCCAATGCTGGACTTGGTTGTGGTTTGCTTTGGTGATGCTGTTGAGGCTCCAGATTCGGTCCTCGGGGATGAACTGCAGGAGACTGCTGGTGCAGGGAACACACCGGCGTGGTTATATAGGTATTGCACTTGCTGTGGGGGGTAGACGTAGGGGACGGGTGGTTGGCCCGGCAACGGAACACCAGGTAGGTAAGGGGTGTGGGCGGGAATCTTCAAATTCAGGACATCTTGTGACACAGGCTGCTTCTCAGAGTGACTGTCACTTTTTGTTTCTACGCCCGATGAGCTTTTGCCACTTTTCTCACCGGCCACTTTCTCTCCACTCCCTTTGCGGGACTGCTGTTCCCTCCTGCGCTGTTCCTCCCTCTGGCGCTGCTCATCCTGCCGGTACCACTGGATGAGAGCCTCGTGCTGCTGCAAGGCAAGGTGGTAGTCCGCGTTGGGCAGGGGCTGGTCAGGACGATGGGTCAGGGGGTGAGACGACTGGTGGGGTAAGGGCGGGGCAAAGGAGGGTTGATTCAGGACGAGCTGCTGCAGCTGGTGGCTATGAGGCTGCAGGTGAGGAGGGACCAGATAGGGCCACATACCTTCAACAGACAAAAAACAAAGAAATGAAAACAAAATTAAGAAAAATAAAATCACTATTACACAATGCTGTACTTTGAACTCCTCTCCGCTAAGGCTGATCTGACCTGAAGTTACTCCGAGAGGTAAGGTAACAAAATTTTTGACCTAGATACACAGTTTAAAAGTTGCGTAATTGTCACAATAATTAGAAATATGCTGTTTGTCTCCCTCTAGGGGAGAGAAAAGTTATTTAACATAAAAAAGCTTTATTATTAAGTAGAAAATTAATGCTTCTTTTGATTAAGACTAAAACTATTACCCTCTTCAGAAAGGTTATTAATATTCTCTGTTTCAGCAGATACAGAACTGGCCAAAACAGCACTTCTAGGAAGGACAGCCTCAAGTTGCTCTGAGATACCAAACTAGGCTGGCTACTTACTCAAGTTCGGTGGTACACCGGAGTCTGAATGCACGGCAGGGGCTTGGGGCACAAGTACAAGCTGACCCGTAGCTGGATCCCTGGCAACCTGGAAACCTGCAGGTGGTACCTGGAGATGACTGGATGCTCCCTCCCCAGCTGCATGTAATGGAGTCGCAGGGGGCGTGGTCAGGCCAAAGGGGTGGCCCAGCCAGAGAGATGGGGCATGGGGTGGACCCGGTGCCCTGGGCAGCCACGGGGGAGGGAGGGCCAGGTGGGCTGGGTGGGAGGGGGTCATCCGTCCATCTGTGGGGTCAAAGTGGTGAGGAGAGTGGCCGAGACTGGTGCCACCTGTGCATGTCACATGAAAGACAAATGGTGATGATATAACATTCATTCAATAACACTACTTATAAATCTGAGGAAAAAATGCCAATACAGTGAAAGCAGTCAATAGATGACAGCGTACCTAAGAACAGCATTTATCTGTAAAAAAAATGAAGGAGAAAAAGATAAGGAAACTTCAAGGGAAAGGATGATTCAATAAGCTGTGATTTTGTGCCCAAGTCTGTGTCAGGAGTAGTAAACATTCTTGACAAATCTTACAGAAAAACAATTCTGATTGTGCGTCTTGTACCAAGGGAGAAAAAAAATTAAAGTTAGCTTCATCTAGTCCTCACATGAGGTAAGCATGACAAACTGAACATGTATTCTCCAGCCTTCGATTATATGAAAATTTATTGTAACAATAACGAATTTGACAAGTGATACATATTTGGTACGGTAACAATATTTGAGCTCAACCAAGCTCCTCTCTAGTTTGTTCAAACTCATATAAACCAGTTTGTTGAAAAAGTTTGAAATTGTGCAGTGTGTGTCTTGTTCATAACTCATCTTTTACATCAGCAAATACTATAACTGAATTATCATGCATAAAGCTCGCACTGTCAGTCATGAAGGAGCCAACTGTGGTGTCCATTCAAATTATGATCCCAAGGATCTGTTGACGCACCTGTGACAATAAGGTTGGACCCCAAGTCCCCCGGGTACCGGTGATGATGGTACTTCGTCGGCGGCAGCAGATCAGTTGCTTCCCGGTGAGACCTGCTCATCAATGGATTACAAAAAGAAAATTGCACTGAAGTATGCAATCTATCCTTCCGGATAACCGATTTTCTGCCAGGGATTGTTGGGGGGGTTGGGGGTAAAGAAAACTGCCAAAACAAACACATTATGCCTCCAATGACCAGGGATCAGTATTCTTACTTTGTTATAACCGGGGTCCAAATCAAAGTTAATATAGTTTACATTTGAAAAAGGCCAATGCACCGAGAAAAACACAGGGTATCCAGTAATTTATATTCAGAAGATATAATCTCGTATATTCAGCAATGTTGTGATCGGTAAACCAGGATTCAAATATGCACTCAGCCTATCAGTCCAGTGAATGAGTCCTGGGTACAAAGGACAATAGCATCTAGTGCACAAATCCATCTTAGAAGATTCTGGTGAATGAACTTGGCTTTTATTGTATTAGCCTAGTCCAAAGTGTGCACTTTTTCTCCATATTTTTTCCCCTCTACAGCAACTGTGTCCAAATTTCCCAGGTTTACATTGATACCTTGGTGAGTGCTCCCTGTGCTTGGAGTCTCTGTCCACTCCGTGCAGGGCCCGGGAGCGAGCCCCTCTATCTTCAGCCTCTTCAGACCCTACATGGGGACTGTCTGCTTGTTAATAAAGTTGAAATAAAAATCAGATTTCATGGAGTAAGGAAACAAGGCATAGGCTTGTGATTTCAGTTCAGCACGAACCGTTCCTAGAAAACAGGTCGAGGATGAAAAGCCAGAATGAGTATGAATTTTCCAAATTTATAAAGCTCAACCCTTTTAATTTTGCTGATCTTGTTTTAACTTGAATAGATATAATATAAACTTGAATAAATAAACAAGCATTTATATGCAAGGCATACATTTGCTCATTACGACACAAAACCATGAGAATGCAGAACCAACATTGTCTTAAGACTGAACTTCACAACAGGCATACTAGTCCCAATTTGTACTATGGCAGTTTTAATTTTGTCCTACACTTTGTCTTACATGTAAATATTCTGTGATGAACTAAAAAGTCTGCATGTTTGTTGCACTATGAGGTTGTTTGTGTGTTGAACTGTATGTAGTGTAGCCAAATTAAAATTTACGAAAGGCCTTACTTCTTGGCGTGGCAATAGTGGATGGCCGGCCCTGGCTCAAACTGTCCGAGTCCTGCCGCTTCTGAGCCACAGCTATGCCTACTGGAGGATTGCGGCCATCACTTCCCTTGATCCCAGGAGTCGATCGCCCTTGGGATCCAAGACTGTCTAAGGATGTCTTGCTGCCATGACTTGTGGATTTGCTACGGTTTTCGGTCTTAGTCTCACAGCTTTGCTTGGTAGCTTTGCTGCTGCTGCCGCTTCCACCAGCAGCACTGTTACTGCTGCTCCCAGGAGATGTCCTTTGGGTGTCCGAGTGAGCCTGATGAATGCCTGCTGTCAGGACAGACCGCAGCATGCTCTCCTGTGGCGCTGTATATGGGGGGAAATCCCTGCTCCGGCTATGCTCAGGGATCAGCTCAGGCCTGCTGTCCGTTCGCGGTGATGGGAAGCTTGGCTGGTGCGGCGTCCTGTGCATCATGCCTGGGTCCAGCTTTGGTGGCTCCTGGCCCGGGACTCGCACGCCTGGATGCTCGTAACAGTAGCCCCGCTTCGCAGCAGCCATGTGCCACTCCAGGTATCGCCGCTGTTCATCGGCACTGTACAGTGTGGATGAGGCATCCAGTTTGCCTCCGTCCCTAGAGGACGGCACCATACCACCTAGGGGCAGCGAGTAGCCTGCCATGTGGTGGGGATAGCTGTGCATGTTGGGGGTTGTACTGATGATAGCAGCATCGGACGTCCGGCATGCTTCCCTGTGAATGGAATCGCTGGCAGTCCTGTGTGAACTCTCATTACCCCGATCCTTCCCATTGGTTGGGGGGTCCGAGGGTGACAGATGGTGGTCACGACTTTCGTGAGCAGATTTACTACTCGAGTGTGTCTTCTTAGACTTCTCATGTCTGTCAACTTTTTCACTTTTGCCTTTGGTAAGTGCCGATTTGACTTCCATACTTTCCTTAATCTTTGCTCCACAATCCTGGTGTGAGGTTCCTACTTTTGTCTTTTCACTGCCAATATCCGACTTGGGCAGGGCAGCTATCTGCTCCTTTGTTGACAATGTAGTACCAACTTTGGCAAACTCCTTCTTGATGCATCCTTTGTCCTTCTCTTTTTCGTTCACCGCCGATCCATGGCTGCTCTCTTTCCCATTAGCCGAGGTCTTTGCTTTTGACTCCTTGACCTGGACAGTCGCACTAGATGCCGGCCCTGGGATGAACTCCCCTAAGGCAGGCACAAATGTAGTGGCGTGGACCTTGGAACCGTCGCGGGGGGTCTCTCGCCCCACTTCCCTCTCCAAGCTGAGATGCCCTGTACCATGCAGGTAGATCGGGAGGTGGCTGATGTAAGATGGCTGGCTTTGGGAGGAGGGGGAGGGCATTGATGCGTGGGCAGGAAAGGAAATTGGCTTGGAGACTGAGGATGTCACACCTACAAAAACAAAAGAATGGGGAAGTAAGAATGACAAAGGAACCTGTGGCCATTTACATGTATGGTAGAAGGATGCCCAGAAGCTCATCCCATTTTTAAACGCTGCCTAATCTTGCTGAGTCTAAAGAGATAAAATTACTTGTGTTAATAGCCTTCTCCAAACAACTCCATGTGACACATTCATAGAAAGACAACAAGTAAACAAACGTTTCATCAATTCTAGGTCTTCAGTCTTAATCACAATCCTTGAACAAATGCTCAGATATGAACGATGTTTCAATCAAACTCAGTGAAATTCGATGAAAGGAGCTATCCACAGTACTTCAACTTCCAGAGATGGTTGACAGTCACAGGGTGTTTATCTGTGGCAAAATTATCTGTCTCTTCACTGTTGATTCCGATGCATTTGTTCTCCTTGGCATGGATCAGAGCCATGTCTCTCATCACCTGTCAGTTCAGTGGTCCATAGGGAATTTTGTGGGACAGCCATCTAATCTTTAGGATCCTGTGTTCCTTCAAACCCACGATACATGCAACGCACTCACAAAAAAATGTCCAATTCCCCTTGTCTATTTCAAATAAAATGGTACTTTGTTTTGTTTCATAGATTTAATGAAGAAATTTTTCTTTCCTCTGACATGACAAAAAATAAACATTTGGAAATCTCTGGTGAATTTGTCTGCACGCCAGAGACATTTGAGATGGACATCTTTACATCACGCGTTACATTGTCACGTTTGCCTTCCTTCCTGATGCTGACTCGATAAATACTCAGGACTCCCACCCCCCTCCTCGAATGACACTACGATAGTGAATGCTGTGCTCCTCTTGTTCTTTGCACTGCTCACTTGCCCAAATCTGTTTTGTATTGCAGCATTTTGTCAAGTAATGTTCCCCGGTTTTCTTGCGAAGTGGCCAAGCGTGAAAATGAAGGAAACTGAGTCAATGCTTAGTGAGAGCTCAGAATAGCAGTACCAGGAGCGCAGAGTGGGGGGGGATGAGGTCAATGACAATAAACCCTATTCCCGCGACGGCCAGACGCCCGTGCCACCGGTGTTTTTAAAACTTTAATTTCAGAATAAATCTGGCCAATCTGGGCAAAGTCTTCTGAGGCCACCATTGAGTCATCAACTGCTACACTCTTGCCCCTCAGAGGGTAAGAGCTAACAATGTCTGCCCCTCACGTTGTTCATCTGGTTTTGCTTTCTTTCCCAAATTGGCTTAAGCCCTAAAATGGGCCTAGCCCCAAATTCAGTAATGTGTGAAAGCTCCAAAGGAAATACATGGGTCAGGGTAATTGAGTTACTGTACAAGGACAGGCACCTTTTTTTCCTGAAATAAGGTAAACAGTAAAATTTCAGAGAGACATGTTTCCATGTGATATAACACTGGTGTAGTTTCTTTCTATGCTGACTGCTTTCTTCTAGATTTTTTGACCTAGGGTACTACTGCTTGTGTTAGATATTTTTAAATAAATGCAGCCAACAGCAAAATGTGAGTGACGATAATATTTCCAAAATACTAACAAGGGACATTCTAGCATAGCTGTATTGTACATGTGCATTGTTAAAAGCAGTTGACTAACGGTCAAACTACTCTGCCCGGACTAGCCCACAGCTCTGTTGTTGGGAACCACAACCAAGTGTAATCAAAAATGGCAGGTACTACTGAAAAACTCCTTTAAACAGCTGGTCCTGCTTTGAAATAAATCATGTTATGCAAATTCAGCAAGCCTTTTTATCCACTTTTCTTAATTACACAAACAGCAAAGCAGGCAAAACCTGAAGGAAGCGAGCACTAAATTTTAGCATATACAACTTCTTTACTGTATGATGTCATCAAACATACAAACTGAGGGCCTATTCCATGCTCCAACCATATATGTGAAACCTCTCTTTTACCTGTGCATTACAGCCTTATATGCCTATTATACCCGTTTTTAGGCACTGCAATCAATAAAGATTATTCAGAGTTCTCCACGTTTAGTGTTAGTGAAACATTGCACCAGCATATTCAGGTGAAGAGTGCATGCTGAATGGTAAGGATAATAAGAAACAGCTCTTTTTACAATGGTCAACCAAGTGCTGTATCCTGTGAACGCGAACGTGTGCGAACGCACACATAACAAGCAAAACATGTTGTGTGTGCGTTCGCAAAGTGCTTTGGAATGCTGTGGGAACAGTTATACCAAGCTTTGAGGTTAACAATGAACTCCTGATGCTGTTTAAATTGTACTTACACGTGTTAAATGCTGCTGTGGGGACCAATGATCTGGGGCTCGGCAACTTCTCCTTCTCAACAGGGCTCTCCCGAGACAGATCTCCGCTGATCACACTGTGAGGACTGCTAAGGCTACCAGTGACAGAGGGACTGGATTGAGGGGGCTTAGCTCCAGTAGGACTTGATCCCGAGAGATTGGCGCCTGTTGGATTAGGTCCCAAGGAAGACACACCACTTGAACTGGCTTCAGCAGTCCTTATGTCTGAGAGACAGGTCCCTGGCAGACTAGCTCTTGTTGGACTATCTCTGGTAGGATTAGCTTCAACAGGGCTAGTCTCTTTAGGATTAGTTCCTGTTAGATGAGCCCCAGATGGATTAACAGCTACAGAATCTGCTCCTATCATAGTCATTCCCTTGGGACTGACATTGACAGGATAACCCCCTGCAGGATGGATACCCGAAGAAGTTGCTCCAAGAGGACTCAACGTGTTGCCATCAGATGCTGCCAAGCCAGCTCCAAAGGGCCCACCTTTGGGAGGACTAAGGCCAGAAGAGTTCTGACTTGTGGGAGCATCCACTGGTGACTTTATCTTACTGGAATCAACTCCTGTGGTCAAAGCATCCCCCGATGAACAGGTTCTTTGAATACAGTCTCCGGCTGCAGAAGCAGACATAACTCCGGGGGAACCAGTCGGCACAGAATTAACTCCACTACAGCCTGCTCCTGATGGGCTTACTGAAGATGAGCTGTCAGTAGTGCCGTGAGTAGAACATACTGGTGACGCTGGCAACAGAGGTGCTGACGTTGCACTTGTGACTTTAAAGTTGTTTGACGGTGGGGAGGGTTTTCCCGAAGAAGGCACCATAGTGGATGAAGGAGGACTGGCAGTCAGTGGCACAGCATCTGCACCTGTTGGTGACCTGCTATTGCCATTGGATGTGTCCATTCGCACTGCCTGAGTAATGTCCAGAGTGTCAGCACTTGCCGATAAATGTGTGGAGCAACTTGTGTGTTTTGTTTCTGAAATGGATGATGCTGGCGTCGAGTTCTCAGAAGTGGCACACACAACAGTTGATGTTTGCGGCAAAACTTTCTTCTCAGCGGCAGCAGCGGGAATGCTTGATAGCACGGCATTTCCATTCACATCCACTGACAGGTCTTTCCGCTTGCTTGATTTCTTCCGCTTTTCTGAGCTCGATTCTTTTGATTTGGGACTCGAAGTAGGCAGACCTGGGTTGGCCTTTGAGCTGTCTTTCTTGGAACTCTGAATGCTATCCCCATTACACTTTGACACCACGTTGGGGAGTTCCTCCCTGCTGATTACTTCAACTGTCAGAGCCAGGGGGTTGTTTTGGACTTTTTGCTTTGGTTCGGGTGATTTATCAGTCATCTTATTTGGCGAGTCTTGAGTTAAGTCCGACTCTAACTTCTGCTCTTGTTTTGGTGCAACGTCACAACCATTACCCTTTTCCTTTGAAGCCATCTTACTGTATCTACCTAAGACTGGCTCTTTTTTCTCCTCAACTGCATTGCTCTCTGTGACCCTCTCCTTATTTCTGCTCCGGCTAGAATCATGTTTGGACGCCTTCCTGTCCTCACTGCCTGAGGTGTGCCTCAACTTTGCTGGTGGGTGGGTAGAAGTCTTTGGGGAGAGGGTGCTCTCCTTCAGTGCATGAGGAGAGGTCTTGCTTAATTTTGATGGTGGGCCTTCCCATGGGTCACTGTTCCTGGTGTGGTGGGATGCTGGAATGCGTTGGCCATCTATGAAAGGAACAATATATTTGACACATGAGCAACTCTTTCAAGACCTTGGCATCATCTTCAGGAAGTACTTGTTGCAGAGGGAAGAATCTTCGTTCATTTGGGCAGAAAAGGTGTACAAAATATCAATGCTCAGACTGGTAAATAAGCAGACATGTATGGTGATTTCCACGGTTGCTTGGGTATTTTTCGGTTGCTGCTTTTATTCTTCATGCAGTGAAGAACAGACCTCTCAGCAACACATCCCCTGGGAACTGCTCATATGAAACTAGATAATCTCTAAAAAAAAGTTCAAGCAATTAGAACAAAGCATCTAACACATACTGTTGAAATTTATCACAAAGCTGTCGTGTAATAACAATGCACTTTGCAACCCACATTCAACTGTCATTTTCACAGTCAATTTCTTGAAAGCTACATCCAAGACAACTGGTCTCCCAAGTAAAATAAAAAAACCAGCTGAGATGGAACTCTTCAAAGGTATTAGCAGTGACAAATGAGCCAGGAAAGTGAGCGAGACAGAAGAGGTACTTGAAACTTCCACAGGAAAACGAGTTCCTTGTTACCTGATTTAGCTGTGGCCGAAACGGCAAGGAGTCCCTGGGTTCCTGGACCTGGCAGTGAGCTGAGTGTGGTGAAGTAAGGCTGGTAAGAATGTGCACTGCTGGCTACAAATCCTGCATACCCTGTGACAAAGAGAAAAACCTCTGTCAGCCACAGTACGTCTAAGTTCCTTTTCTCTTGACGTCAACGTTTTCATTAGCAAATTCAAAATATATGTCAATCTGTCTTTAGTGGGAAAATGAAGTACAATGCACTCACATGCCCACAAATCTCTCAGGGGAACAACCAGAGGGTGGTTTTATTTTGGGAAATGCAGGAAAGGTCAGGTCAAAGGTCATCTCTTGGGGGAAAGCATGTATGCCTGACTTGGGAATAAAAACAGCAAGCTGTCTCCTCCCCCTCCATGAAAAGTCTCAGGTTGCAGGTGAATACCCATTGATGTTGCACTGTACACATATAATAATATACAATTTACAAAAGAGTAACTGTCACACATGATGTGAAACCTGGTGAAAATGACCTTTTTCAAAATATAAAATAATGGATCAGCCAAGACAACTTCAAAATTTCATTTTGTATTGTTTCACTGGGAAGCAGATTTTCCTACGAGTGTCCAACACAGCATGGTACTCCAATGTTTGCCACATCACGCCCAGAAAAAAAAAACCAGAAAATACAACTTAGTGCTTTGTCACAGCCTCCGCCTTGGCACTCTGCCAAGCATGAACAAAGATTTGAGGCAGGTGTGGTCTGAAATAATGTACGCTTGTGGGGAAAGAGAAAAAAAGACCAAAATTCCCTAGGGGAAGTTCCCAAAGCAACTCGACCCCAGGGCAAACAGCAACTTTCCAATTTAGTCCACATGCCCTAGACGTTGCCTGAAAATGAGGAAGAATACGTGCAGCTCACACACGTTTCACTTCCCCCCGCACACATGCCACCATCTATCACAAGTTTGCTTTTGAAACAGAGGTGAAAACATTTGTTCATAAAATTGACCAATTAAAGAGGGACTTGCCCGAATTTTCTTCATTTTATTCCCCCTTGACTTGAGAAAATCCTCAAATTTGTCCATCTCAAATGACATTCAGAACCAAGCCAAGTACAAAAGGATGATGTCTTTTGAAAACAAAATCATGAAGTACATGTAGTTGGGACTCTCAAACACTGTACGTCATAAATGCCAGCATGAAGTCACAATTAGTAATTCTTCTCACATAACGTTAACATGTATTAAGAACTGGAAAACAATTCAGGCAAAAATAAATTTCTCCTTGCACACAATATTACACCTGAATATAACCCAAACACACCTGCATGATTTCATGAGTCAAAAAGAAAAGAACATTTTCGTGAATAACTGTCTTACCAAATCATCCTTTCAGGATGAATTCCTCTACAAATACTAGGTATTTCTTTAAAAAAAAAAACAGAGCAAGAGACACAGAGAGAGAGGGGCCTTTAAGAAGTTCCAGCCTCACTGTCAAAATGGCCCGGCTCATGCCACATTCATGCCTACTGTTCTGGAAAATGTGTTCTCTCTGGTGCACATGATCCAATGCCTGTGGTTGAAACCAGTCTGATCTCAAAACGGCCCTGGCATACAGCACATTTCCCAACAGGGGACAGCCTTTTGTATGTATCTCTTGTACTCCTCTTGCATATGGCCCAGACATGCACACTCATAAAACATCATTAATATCCACAAACGTAGATCTAAATCTTTTGGTGGGGTCTGGAATGCCACAATTTCCTCCAGTTAAATTAAAGGAAACTTTGCTGGTCCTGCAGTGGGCTCAACGGACGAAATTACTAAAGAAGCTTTGATATAACAATTGTACAAGGGCAAAACCAAGCAACATGACTCTGACATTACAAAAACAACAATGACCAGGTTTTATCAAGAATACAATCAACTCCAAAATTCTGGGCTGCGATATAAACAACCAATTCTGTGGTTTGCTTTCTAAGTATTATCTTTCACGTTTTTGACGCCTGATTTTTCCCCTCCCAATCCTGGCCATGAAAGCAATAAAATCAGCCATTAAAGATGCTGGTTTGTCTGTCAGCATAAATTTTATCGACCAGTTAGAAAAACAAGTGCTGATGATAATGGAGGGGGCGGCCCGGGTACATTTGTAAACTTGAGCATGAACCGTCCTCTCAGTTGCAGGGTAAAACAACAGTTGGGGACTCTCCCGTGGGCCTCCGTGTGTAGCAGTTGCTGTTTATTTTTTCTTGGGAAAGGGCCAAAGGTCTCTGATTGACACAAGACGAAGGAAAGCTGTGTTCCTGCCCACATGTACAACCTTTTCTTTTCCTAACACGGCTCAACAGACCAAAATAAATGCTAGTTCTGACTGGAATACGGGGAGCAGAGTACACTTTCATGAATATACAAGATGTTCACCGTTCGAGGGGCTGAACACCAACAGAACTTCAAATCTTTATATAGCTTTGATACTTACAAAACTACACTTTCAACAAATTAAACAAAGCAAAAGGATTTTCAAGAAGCAGAATACAAAATTGCTGTTGTTCGAACATAACATTTTCTTGGACATTCAGATTCCAAACATTAGTTTGCTCTTTGGCCCATTCACCCCCCCCAAAAAAAACCAACCACATTTTAAAAGGCACCCCCATAAAAAACATAAAAAACAGGGGTCTGATTTCAGCCGAATTGCATTTCGTAGCATTGAGCAACTGTACAGAGAAACCCTGAAAATGTTTGAGGCATTATGATTTTCAACTGGAATGATGTGCACAGAAAGTTGACTAAATGTGCAGTTTACACAGTCCAGGATTTTAGGGGAAGTATGACCCTTTAAGCATGAACCCAACCCCCCTTATATAAAAAAATCTCCCCTACTCAGAATTTCCAGCGAAAAGCATTTTGTCACCAAAACCTATATATAATGTGCCCCCCATACAAGAATCCCCAAGTACCCCCGAAGCAAATCGAAACTCCACTTAAAAAACGCCACTGAAAGGAGCAAAAGTCTACCGCCAGCATCCCCCAGTTCTCCCATATCCCATACTGTGCCATCGTCCGCGGTCAGATGTAAAGTGACCCATACACACACCTTCTGAGTTGGGCAGCCAGAACTGGTTCATGGTTACTGGTTGTGCGATGACCCCACCGGACTGCTTAAAGGTGTCGGAACTGGAAGGAGTGATGTAGTTGCCGAGATAAGAGAAACCGGACCCTGGGAAAGAAGGCCAACGAAAGAAATCAACCTTTTTAGGTTACACTTTAGGGCCTAGCGGTACAAGAAACACGAAAAACCACAGAAGAAACCAAGTTTGCAACAAAATACCGACTAAAAGCAGAGGGGAGAACATTGGATTTTTGAACACAAATTGGGCACATAATGTGGAAGGTAACTACACAGCGTGATGGACCAAAATGTACGAGGGTTAGGTCTGAAATGGATGGTGCTTGTACATGTGCAGTCGCGAGAGCTTTCAGTGGCTCAAATACCTTGCTAGAACCTTCCAAGTTGCCCCTTTGTTGAACATATCAACCTTTCAACAAGAAAGAGGTGACAACACAGGTCTCTGGGGTGGTTCCATGATTTTTTGGCAAGGGGTTTCGCTTTTTTCCATGCGGGAGAGGGGGAGCTGTGTTCCTTGTTGATGTTGAAGCCATTTCATCTCTTTGCTTTGTCCTTAACTGAACACAAAAATATGACCTCGAAAAGGTTCTGCTTTTTTTCAGAGGGAGGGGGCTAGCAACCGTGAGACATAGGCCGCTAAAAACAATACCAATGACCCCCCCTTCCCTGGAGACGCGCTTGTGTTTGGGATCCATTTCTTTAACTTTTTAAGTCTCATGCATCCAATACTTTATCAGTTACGCATCAAAATTATGACTGTGCTTAACCATGGACCACACCCAGCTCGTTGCGACTGACAGACGACATCTTTCCTCTCGGAGCCAGAGGTGAGACAATGCCCTGGTGTGGCACCCCCCCCCCCCGGTTTTCGCTCGCTGGAGCTCTTAGACAACTCGTCTACGTCTCCAGGCGGGAAAGGAATCCTCTAATGTCCAAAGTGACTCAACAGTAGACAACTCCAATATTTTACTTCTTAGTATAAAACAAATTAACTTTCTTTGGGGGGGGAAGTACCCCATGTTGAGCAAATGTATGCGCTAATTAAAGAAATTCCAAGTGGCCGATGACAGTAAAACAAGTCTCGAGCGAAGGAAATTATTTTAATATGTCAATGACGGTTGGCGACATATCTTACATTGGAAAGCCTGTCCATCTTTGCAGGAACTTTAGAGTGCCAATAAGGACGTTGTAGAAGACTGACCCCAGGTTTCTGTGCTGTATGTACATGCAAATCTACCGAAACGGAATCACCGAACAGCAGGCCAGATTAAGCTGTCATCTTTAAGCAGCTCCTTGACATACAATGTGCAGGCGCGAGGTCCCCACAGGAAACTAAACAGTGGATTGAGATCGCCACTAGTGCAGGCACTAAACTCGATTGTAGGAGATGCCGATCTGCTAGGATCGAAACGTCAGGCCCTCTTTATTTTGTGATTTGTATTTTAGGTCACTGTAGTAAGCAAGCAGTTTGAAGCAGTTTTGTATTACATATGAAGTGAAATATTGGTAAGAGTTACTACACAGATAGAACGGGTGGTCTGTTTCCCCAGTTCAAATCCCTCCGGATACACCACATGGGTACTGCTTGTTGAATTCTTCTTGATGGGCTGGACTCTTCTCAGAATTCAGTATCTCAGATTTTAAGTTCTCATGTCCCAGACTAACGTTACTCTTTACTTCCTTTAATTCAAAAGCGCGGACCTTAGGGCAAACATGATGTAGTACAGATCAGACTTGTCGGGGTTAATAAGTCACGACTTTAACCGAAAGTGCTAAAAACAAAAATCTAGTTTGCATCATGTTAAATCTGAAACTAGAAACTGATAGACGGAGAACTGAAAGAGAAACAGGTAGACAAGGAACTGAAAGGAGACTAAAGAAAGTATTTGGGGTAACAAAGATGCGGCAGTTCCAAGCTCCAACGGAAGAGATTTGCTTTTAGGCTATTTCCTGGGCGATAACTGTTGTGTCTGAACAGCCAGCAATCAGGGTATCATGTATCTCAAAACAGGATACGCACAACGTAAACTTGAACCCCAGAAACCGCTCACAAGACATCGAACAAAATGCAAAGGCAACTTGTTGAGGAGTTAATGTGGACATGTTTTGAACACATAGGGATGGGGCCGTTCCTTTAATTCAGCTCGGTTCTCCCTGGTAGCATATAAATTTCAGTGTCTTCTTACCAGCCTGACAATATCGCTGTGCAAATAAATACGGGCAATTTTTTATTTTTATTTTCGCGGGTTGTTTTTGCTGAGACGTATAACCTTCTCCGGTCCTCGCCTGTTCTGTATCCGTCTTCGGCATAATTTGGAGAGCAACTCTCCTGCAAAAACACACCTTCGGTGCTTATTTACCAAATAAATAATGAGTTCACCAGGCGTAATCAAAGAGGTCATTTAGCAATGTTTCGAAATAATACAGTCCGCCCGCTTGCCCTGCACTCGTCACATATCACTTGGAACTGTTGAAACGAAAAGAAAACCCACAAGGTAAGTTGAAGGCCAAAATCCACTATATGTTAGTCTATATCACTGTCCACCTCCGTAAGTGAGTGCATTCTAGCATTTGCGATTTAATTGGTGCTGTAAATTGTTTCTTGTCCTTTGAATCTTAACTCTTGTGTGCAGCCAACGGATCCACACGCCGAATGCATGACTGGCCATGTGCTGCATATGTGGCGCCAAGCACGTACATTTTGGAATTACGGCCTTGGCCCCTGCCTCGAATAATAACGGGCAATGAACACTCTATGTATTTGTGGCACTGCAGGCAAGAGATTCATTGGTTAAGAAGGTAAGAGATATCAAACGCAAAGTGTATTCCAGATGTTTTGTGCCTGACTGTGTAATTTATGGGTAGACCTTTAGATGGGACATGCGAAGGCGTAGATCCAAGTCAGGCAACCATCAGGTAGTTGAATCATGGAGCCAGTGCACGTAAATTCCGCATTTCTTTTTCAAAAAAAGGAACCTTGAAAAAAAAAATAAAACTGTTGATTTTTGAAATTCACAAGAAGTAAAGAATTAACTACAACTTTAGAAAAGACTACTTTTCTGCCAACTTTTTTATTGAATCCTTCAGCAAAACCAGAAGTAGGCCTACACATAAAATAACGTGCAACAAAACAGGATCCCCTTTTGTCTAAAAATGTAATTTCAGAGGTTTCCGTAATGCATATATTTTTCATGCCATTGCCAATATTTTCTCCAGCTAAGTTCAGGAAGCATTATGAAGAACACAGCTGAAAGGTGCCTCCTCTCGGTGACCGTTATTAAAGAAAGCCTGGTTCCCTATATCCTGCCAGAATCACTCCGTCAATACCTCATACATTAATTACCTCCAATTAGTCACTGGAGAGCTGCCCTTCTGCCTGGCCACTGGTTAATGCATCGAGTGTCTGGGGACAAGACCTAGCTGCAGGACACAACGCACCTGTCTCCAACCAGATGGACAAGTAACAAAATATAAAAAGAGAGAGCCAGATGCATTCCGGGTATTCCATTCAGGGGTCTACTCAACAAGCTCACATTGATTAAAATGCCAACTCATGGGAAGTTCTGATTACTCAAAAATTTTCAGGGACCAAAAGGGTTCACGTGGACCACGACAAGTTTAAGACTTCACAGCCTCAAAACTGAGAATGCACGAAAGGCATCCTTCATTGGAAGAAAAGCTGCTATTGTTAATATGAAACGTTTACAAGAAATTCATCCCTATGGTAAAGAAAAGTTGTCATTATGAATACAGAGAACACTTAATCACCAAACGTTTCATGAACTCATCTCTGATTCTCATCTCCCCCGAAAAAAAAAACTGAAGTTCGTTTGATTTAGTTAAATTCCCGCCTGCAAAATGAGAACAAAACGTAAAACTATATTCAGCAAGTCCTACTCACTAACAAAATCTGCGACACTATTCTCAGTAGGCTATCTCTGGTGGCGAAAATCACGCACGTGTGTGCTCATGACATAATCACCGAACGTATGCAGTTCCCAGAAAAGAAACAGGTTATTGAACTGATATGCCCACGGATCAATGGCTCTATTATGAAAATGAAAGATGAACACAATGACTACTGCATCGACCACTTTTTGTCACTGCTGTACGGCTAAATAATCATTTTTCTATTCGGTAGTTTGCTTGTGAAAAAATACAGCAATTCCTTATATCAGACTGTTTGGGAACTTAGGCCTACTATCTTCAGGTGTAAATCAAGTTACAGATCACACTGTTTGAAATATCCGTCCGATTGTTTTAAAAGCACATGTGGAATGTCAAAGGCATCCTCCAAATTTTTTTTAAAGATGTTTGTCACAGATCCGCGAAGTTCTGCACCTACGTGTATTCACCCACAAAATGAACATTCAAAAAAATCTAAGATGCGTCACAAATTTCACAATACGATGCGAGAATTAAACATCTCAGATCATGAACCGATTCATTAATTCACAGAATTTGGCGAAAACGCTCTATTCTAGATGAGAAGCTTTTGCATTATTTTCCCATACCAATCAGCAGTTGAAAGTACCTCCAGCCGGTTCAAACAAGTGCAGCAAGACCAGGCCGTTCTGCGTCTTCAGACATAAAGCAGTCGGTGGACTGACCCGTGCGCATGAATGCGGCCGCTCTCCCTCGTAACCAAGTTATTCCCGGCCCGGCCACACTGTCACACTTTATCATGCACTTGCGCCAGAGAAAAACGAAGGGGTGGTTGCACTTTCATTGCAAACAGAGATCCAAGGAATATGATAAATTGGAGCTGACTTTTATGAATGGAATTCCAACCAAAAAAAACGCAAGCTTCTTTTCCATCATGCAAGTGCGCACATCTTTTGTCTTGTTTGCATGGCATTCGCACACAAACTTTATTTACGGAACAGATTTTCTAATCATTAAAATTTTGCACTATAAAACTACACAGAACAGAATTTAAGAACAAGATTTCGCCTTCTGTTCAACAGCTAAGTATGAATGAAACATGCTTTTGCAAACTTTAAGATATCTCATTCTCGGTTAAATCTTAACTGTCTCATTCTAAATTTCTCGTTCCAGATAAGCAGCGACGCTGCACAAACACCTTAGCA